AAACACTAAAAGTGATGCCACATATTACTGTGGTTCGACATGTAATGAAATCCATAATTTTGAGTCTTAAATGCGCAATTGAGGACCATTGTTACTTTATCATTTATAAATTTAATATGTTGCGACCCTAGTAAAAAAAATAATAATTATTATTATTATGATAATAGTATCATAATTGCTATATAATTTGTTACTGCAATCTTATTAAGCTCAAAAATATTTCATCAACGTAGTAATAAATAAATAATAATAATAGTAGCAATAATAATAACAATAGTAATAATAACTATAGTAGTAATAATAGTAATAATAAATGCATGATTAAATTTATTATTAAAATAGTCATCTTTAAATGAAAAATATATCATTGAAATTTTGATGTTTTAACTTCTTTTTATTACACTTAATTTTCTTTATGCAATAAAGTTGAGAAGAAATAAAATGAAGAAAGAAACTTTATTAAAATGAAACTTCAGAAGTAGGAAGAAAGAGGTAAATTTTCATTTATTATTCATCATTAGATAATTACTTTTCCAAAGCTATAATGCGTCATCGTTGTATTATTTTTATGCTAAATAAAGTTGGTGACAAAGGATAATGACAGATACAAATATACGCACAAACAGACATATACGCACAAATACATATTGAAAAATGAAAAGGACGCTGGAGCTAATCGATTTGTCATCTCATATCATCAATTAAGTAAGAAGAGGGAGGAAAAGCAAATGCATCGATGACGTTGAGTGTATAAGGATGAGGAATGAGTTTTAAGCCTCAAAACTCGAATAAGGCCTAAAGTAAAAGCGAAGCGCGTAAGCTTAGTAGTCAGATAAAGGGACAACTGCTGCTGTATTAAAACATTGGAAACTGCTTAGATTGTGAATTGAATCCCTCCCTCCATCTTCATGGCCTACTACTACTGTTTTCTTTCCGTTTTATTCCTCATATCTATCCTAAAAATACAAAAAATCAAGAGTATCACTGATCAATGGTCTAATTATCATAATCAAGATGAATTGGAAACCATCCTTATAAATATTAATAAACGTTGTCCCAATTATACTACTATTTATTCAATTGGTAAAAGTGTCGAAGGTCGTGATCTACTTGTTATTCATTTTTCAACAACACCTGGACAGCATCAAATGTGTACGTTACCTTTACTGTATTCTTATTGCAAGCACCTCCTAATGAATGATTTAAGCAAAAAATTTCGTAAACTTCATTTGCAAAATAATTTATCTTTTGTTTACAGAATTTTTTGATGAAAAAGATTTCTCATCCACTTCTGAATCTTTCATAGCTTCTCATTTGATATTCATTCCTTTTCATTCTTATTGTATTCATACAGTTTGCATTTCTTTCCGTCCTTCAGATTCTTTCCAAATTGAAATTTTTTCCTGAAATTTTTTTCCTCATTTTCTTTTTCAAACAAATATTTCCAATCATAGAAATAATATAAATTTCTTGAATTGATCGATATTTCCAGTAAAACCAGAAATGAAATATGTTGGAAATATGCACGGAAATGAACCTGTTGGACGAGAACTTCTATTACGGCTTGCATCATTCTTCTGTGATGAAATTTTGGCAAAAAATAAAGAAATTATGGAATTGATCAAATCGACATCAATTCATCTCTTACCATCAATGAATCCTGATGGATTTGAACGCGCACTTTTAATAGTAATAATATTTATTGAGATTGCTCGTTTCTTTTTTTTGCTGATACATATACTTCAATGAATTTCATCAACAGGAATATACTAAAAGTAAACTTAAATGAAACACACAAATTGAAACTTTAAAACGTTTGTGATTTTAATTGATAGTACATTGAAAAGAATTGATGAGATCACAAGGGTTAGGCTTCATTTTTCAACAAGGAAGATTTCCTTTCGAGGAAAAGAAAATTTGATTTAAAGATTTTGACTCTGCTAAATTACTTGAAGTAAAAATACTTGAAATTTCAAAGAGGAAAAAATACAGTATGATAAAATTAGCAAAGCATATTTTTAGGGAAGCGATGCTCGGGGTTGGTTTGATGGTAGATCTAATGCGAATGGTATTGATTTAAATCGAGATTTTCCGGATCTTGATGGTTTTTATTACTATTTAGAACGACATAATATACCTCGTTTTGACCATCTTCTGGAATTATTTGGTGATGAAGCAAAAGAAGTATGATTTTTTCATTTTATATTTATGTTTTATTAGAGAGTAGTTTATTAAGATAATTACGGAAGTAATTTTAGCTATGAATTTTTAAATTTAAATTCTCATAATTTTAAGTATCAACCAGAAGTACGAGCAGTTGGCCAATGGATTCTTTCTTTACCATTTGTTTTATCAGCCAATATACATGAAGGCGATTTAGTGGCTAATTATCCGTTTGACTCTGCTCGAATTCCAAACAGGAATGAATATTCCAGAAGTCCTGATGATCAAACATTCCGGTAAATACATTTCATATTTTGTCAAAAATTATCACTTTTATTATTTCACAAAAATTTCTTGTTTTTGGAGTATCCATTTCAATGCTTTAAAACTACTTGAAATTTATTATGAGTAATAATACAATAATTCTCTTATTTGCATACTAAATAATGGATGGTAAAAAATGCTGTGTAATTTGAAATTAGTAAAAATTCAAAAGTATATTTTAAATTTAATTAAATTTACAGATATCTTGCGGAGAGTTATGCAAACAAGCATGCACATATGGCAAAGAATGATCATCCATCTTGTGATGGAACTATTACCAATGCATTCACACGACAAGGTTAAGCAATATTAAACTTTATATATTCTCGAAAATAACAAAAGATGAATTTGTGGAAAAAAGTTCGAGAATTAATAAATCTGACAAATTAGCCGAATTCAGGAATGTATATATATAGCCTTCAGGTGGGATAACAAATGGTGCGAAATGGTATTCGGTTTCGGGTGGTATGCAAGATTTCAATTATTTGGCAACAAATGCATTTGAAATAACATTAGAATTATCGTGCAAAAAATTTCCGGACAGCTTATTACTGCCGAAACTTTGGGATGATAATAAAGAAGCATTGATCGATTTCATTCGAAAGGTTTGTATCGTTGGCTAAATCTAAGAAAACTTTGTTGCATTATGGAAGTAAATTGTTTCTCCTTTCTTTTCTCCCCTTTGGTAGAAAGCTGAAAACAGATGGAACTTTTTCTTCTTACTAGAAATTGGGCTAAATCGAATTCTGAATAATTCCTCTACTTTCTTACTAACAATACCTTTACGAATGTATCATAACAATTTCAATACTTTTTTAATCAATCATTGGTGAAGTTCATGTTTGACAAAATCTAATGAAATCTAAATGTTATATATTTTATAAATATTCAATCTTAGAAACAGTAGAAAAAGATCGTACTGTTGCAGGTTCACATTGGAATTAAAGGTGTCGTGATGGATAGAATTACCGGAAGACCAATATCAGAAGCTGTTATTTGGGTCACAAACAGTACTGAAAACACACCGATCAAACATCCTGTTACATCTTGTATGTTTCAAATAAACTTCGGACTAACTTGTTTTACTGCGTAAATCTAACTATAACATCTGTTTCAATTGATCTAACATGGATTTAATTGTTCATATGAATAAGTTTGAATTGAATTGTTGTTGATCTAAACGATCATTTGTTTTGTAGGGGAAACTGGCGAATATTTCCGTTTACTTACGCCAGGACGTTACGAGATTTACGTGGCAGCGGATGGCTACCAATCAACATACAAACAAGTGAACGTTACAAATAATAGTCAAACATCAGCGAAGATTGTAAACTTTGCTCTAATGCCGGAAAAAACAAAGGTAAAGAGTTGTGATTTTAAAACATTTTTCAAGTAGTTTCATGCTGTACTAAAAGGAAATTCAAGTGAAATAGGTAAATACGTAGTAGGATGAAGTTATAACATTAGTCTCGATAATACATTCTTCCGGATCAACAGTAAAGAAGAATAACCAAGCGATCAAACTCAATTGATGCAGTATATATAAAGCACAAACATCCAGAGAGATTCAAAAAATTTTGCGTCAAATCTTTATAGAATGAAGACTACCACTAACACCTTAGCAGTGTAATAAATTAAAATAAACTGTTGAAATCCAATTGGTTTGAACAGGTTTAAAACTTTCTCGAAAACTTTAGATTTTAGACAAAAATGTGATGAAAATATAACAAAATCAAAAATACGGTAAGCAATTCTGTCAGAAGCCTAAAAAAGTTGATGTTTCAGGAATTTAATGTACCACAGGATGAAATTCGAGATGTACTGAAGGATGAAATTCTTGATCAGATGTAACAGTGATAACACAAACAGATCGGCTCTGATATATCAAAGAGAAAAGCAAAACAATATCCAAGAAAAAAGAAAAAAAAACAAGTTGTAATTATAAGAATTGCGCTATTTGTCGCCTTCATATTAAAGCTGCATTCAATTTCAATAAAAATCTCCCATTGATGTTGTAATTTGGAAGACTGAAATTAGTATTATGCTATCTTACTCTTAACATGTTTCATACATGTGGGCGGCAATATACTTGTTCAAATATATTGGTAAATAAGGCGGTAACTTGAATGGGGATACTGTACTTTTTCAATTAATCAATCTTCCACTTATTTAAAATTCACATAATGTTACTCTCCATCGAGTGTAAGCAATAACTTGATATCTAACCGAACATACCAAATTTGTCGAGTTTCCAATCTATTATAGCATCTCACAATTCCAACTTTTTAGCCATGAAATGCTAATGAAAATCAATATGCTACACGTGAAATTATCCTAAATTTCGCTATTCAGTATTGCATGACTCACGATTTTTTGATATAAACAAGGAAATATGCGTATTTTATTAATTAAAAGTCTTAACAAAAACGACAACAAGTGACAGTGACAGATATAGTTAAATTTCATAATGCAGATAGGCAACTGCTTCACGAACCCACTGTGGTATGTTACCATCCGGATATTGTTCCAGCAAAAATTCTTTTAAAAATTCTTGTACTGTATTTGTGTCAACTGCAGTGCGCAACCGTCCCATAAGATCTATATGATGGTGCAGGTTATGCTCTGAGATAATATGACATGCAACAGTTTCCTGCAAAAACTTTTCATTTTTAAAGCATCGATGGAGTTATGCAAAAATTCTTTCTCTCTTACTCTGCTCTATTTCTTCCCCTTCTCAGGATAAAATTTTGAAAACTCCGGATATACAGAGCAAAATGTACCTGATTCAATATGGAATGAATATAGGCTCGTGTATAACTTCGACAAGAATTACATGGACAACCATCGTCAATTGGTCGAAAATCATTTTCGAATTCATTTCGAGTAAGATGCAGCATACCTCCATGTCGCACAATCGCTGTGCCAAACCTTTAAAATCAATTCATTGTTTCGTAAATTTTCTAATTTGAAATTAATTTCTAAGTGCTTTGCAATATGCACAATGAATTGAAAACCTTGCAGTGCGTGTTGGATACACACAATCAAACATATCTGCACCCAGCAATGAACAAATCACCAAATCAATTGGCCATCCAATACCCATCACATATCGTGGTAGATGCTCCGGCAAATTCTCACAACAGCATGCAACAATTCTCCAAAATAAATTTTTATCTTCTCCTGTATATTGAAATAAAAACATTTTACACAATATTTTCAAAGCAAAAACTGATCATGCAATACCACAAATTTAAAAACGCATTAGACATCTTGATAGACGTTCATAATATTTAGAACGGCTAAACTAAAGCTGAAAATGTTGCTTGACTTATAGGATACCTGCATTGAATACCCAATTCGTCATCACTGATGGAATAACAAGAACCTTTTCGTTATTTTACATAATGTGGCACAGAGTAGTGAAACATGAAACGAGGCTTAGCATCCATTAGATTATATCATTCCTATCAGATGGTAATGTTCGAAACGATAAAAAGATGGTATATAAATTCATAAAACAGAAAAAATAGCAACTTACCACCGCTTAGACCACCAATTGCAATACCTGTTTCTGCTTGCTGTACCATAGCTGTAATGCATTTTTTACGAAGAGAAAAATCTAATCCACCCTGTATAATAGGAAACAAGGCTTGATCTTTCCTCGTATGTGCATCACGACAACGTTCCAACCATCTGAAAAGAACAAAATATATGAACAAAAGAATCTTTAATGTAACAATGAGCAAACCTTATCGATCGTTCCATTGCTTCCTCAACGATAGCTCCTTCACAAAGCACATGTATTACATGATCTAATTGCATCACAATATCAGCGCCCAAATCTTCCTGGAATAAATGAAAAAGCAAAGTTTCGGAAGAAAACAATTTAAACAAATTTAAACTTATTTTTCAAATCACTCAGATACTCATTTCTTGAGAATTATTAAGAATGAAGCATGGGAGAACGAAATAAAGTAAATACACAAATAAGTAGACAAATTAATTTAGGTGAAATGAATGAAGCTTCAAATTTTTCAAAACTTATACTAAGTGGGAGTGACAGTAAAAACAAAATCGAACATCTTCTTACCTGTATATGTATGCTCGCTTCAGGACTCAAAATCGTCTTCTCACCAGTGTGTGGACTTTCGAAATTGATCCCTTTTTCATCCACATTCATCAGATCATTCAATGAAACCATCTAAAAATTAATCGCATAATTAATAAAGTTATAAATTGTATAGTAATACATCATGAGATTTTGAGTTTCGATAAACCCAGAAATGTACCTGAAAGCCTCCAGAATCAGTCAAAATTGAATATGGCCAATTGATAAAGGAATGAAGACCACCGGCCTTACGAACAATTTTGTGACCAGGCCTGTGACCCATATGATATGTATTGCACAGTAGCAAACGAAACCCCAATTCCGACAGCTGTTCCGGTAGCAAACCTTTCATAGTCCCTTGTGTACCAACCGGCATAAATACAGGAGTATCGACATCAGCATGTGACAACCTTAAAATACTTACATTTCTGCGGACAGCTACTTCAAGAAATATGTTGCCATAAATTCCGCCATATTTCTCAACGATTATTAACTCTAATATAATTAATTAACAAGCAGTACATGCCAGATTTCCAGATTATGAAAATATTACTATTCCACGCTATATCTGGAAATCACCAATAACATTCTACTTCTTCCAGGAATTACCTGAGTCGCCCATGACGAGCTAGTCGCACCTTCGACAATATCCTGAAGTCCAGAGCCATTTATCCCAGCATACACAAGTGCAGTGTGAATGCGTTAACTGAAAACTGATTTGTATAAAACGCAAAAGGGAAGCTTCACGATCCACCTAGGCATCCGATCGCACATCATTACCATACACTTCACCCATACAGTACACCTTTGCCAACGATTTGCAAAACGTTCGACAGCCAACCGACACATCGGAAAAATTGTAAAGGTTTACTTCCCCGTCTTTCGCAGCGTATTTTAAATTAACAGTACGATGAAGGATTGCATAAGTTCATCGCTATCATCCTAAAATCCTCTCTTAGTTTTTTCATGTGAATCCAAAAAAACTTCAATCACCCAACTTTATTCGATCAAATAAAAGAGATAAACGCTGTAAGAGCAACTGCTGATACGGTAAAACTAATTCTAACAATTCTACACCACTTTCAATCATAAGATATAGCTATGTATCTTTGGATAGGAAATGATTTAAAAAAGAATTGATAACTAACGAGATGTAAACATTAGACTTCAAGAATAAAAAACAAACAAAGAGCTTTGACAAGAGGATATATGTTTATCCAGAAAATGAGTGGAAAAAAAACACACTTGACAGAGATGTTGATGTTCATACTTTCAAAAAATAATACATTTTGTAACAGTTTAACGAATGAATAATTCCTATTCCCAATATATTGCATACACACTCGTGCACACAAGCGAAAAACGACTGCAAATACGTCACTTCTATAATTAATTGGATATCGATGCACAAAAGAAAAAACCAATCCGAAGCATTTGACAAAGTAGTACAGATCACGATAAGCATTAGGAATGGCAAACTAAAACTACACTAAATTAAAAGATGAAGGAAAAGAACACACCCCTGTATTTCTTTATGCCATATAACACGAAAAAGGAATACTGCGAAATTTCACGCGGAAATATCAAAACTTTCTTTAAGAATAGAAATTTTAATTTTAGGTCAGTAACCCCCCATCTGTCTAAATTGAAGATGAAAATATAGAAGGGAAGAAAATTACACAATATGTATCGGTATGCCAACTACGTAAAATTAAACAGAAGAGGTGAGGGAAACATAATGGGAAAATCACTCATTTAGTTATTTCCTAGTACTGGTAAGGAATAAAAGATAAATATTGCTAACCCGAGCCAAATTACTAAAATTCATCGAAACAAATTTATCGTTTAATGTCTTATAATGAACTAATTCTAGAGTTCAAAGAGATAAATTCTGATTCAAAGTAACAACAGCATATGGTAATGGATGAATATATATTAATAAAATTTTAATAGTAATGTGGTCATCTTGAGATAAACAAAAAGAAAAGAATCGGAAAAAAGGATGAAAACCGATCAAAACCCGATGCATTTCAGCAACAAATCCATTTCAACAATATTCACGGATTCACAACGGGTTCGAGCGCTGTGTTCGGATCGCATACTTCCAGGATTGCGCGCCCCTCAACCTCCGACATACTCAGTTGTTTCAGCACCTGCAGCATGCTCAGTGTTTGGCTAGTTGGAATGAAAACAAAATTCGAACTGAGAAATATTTTACTCCGCAATTAATGGACCCCATAACAATTGCCAATTATGCCTGACAGCAGATGTTTATCTTTTCCGGCCGGGTTTCATACTTTTCCGTTATGAAAGCAACACCTACAACCTCATATCACCACTAGTAATAAATAGAGTAGTTACCAGCGTGAAATTATAACATTCAGTAATATGGGTCAAATTAACTCTGAATGAATGGTGGAGTCTTTCGGATTTTAAAGTAAGATAATTAGCAAGTAGAGATGAAGAACAAACCTGTGATGCCTGATTGACCGGATAAACTCTGTAATCCGGAGCATCTATCTGTCCTCCAGCAATTAAACAAACAAGATTCTTGAGCTGTTCGATGGAACCACGTGTAACTCCCATGATTGCAAGACGATTACGGGCAACTAGTTTAATAGGAAGCTGTACATCGAGACCCGAGAGTCCACCAACAAACAACACACCACCCTAAATATTTAAGTATGCGTATACATTTATCGGAAATTCGAATGTAAAAAACATGAGGATAGCTAAAGTTTTCAAGATCTAATTTTGTGACAGATTTCAAAGAGCTAATAAACGTTTACCTCAGCAAGGCATTTGAGCGAACGTGTAACAGTACGTGGTGAGGTGACGAAATCGAATACAACTTGAACACCCGTACGAGCAACATCTTTAGTTCTCATAATCAAATATTCCTCAAATTCTGGAACAAGAATATTCAAAATCTGTAATTACAAATAAACTTTCTAGCTTCCTCATGAAAAACTGACATATTGGCTTGAAAGTAAATACGCGTCTTGTGACACTTATTACTCTACAGAATATTGTGAAAATATGAAACTGAACCAACCAGAATCATCCCAATGGACGACGAAATCCGCGCCATTACGCTCAGCAAGGCAAAGACGTTCTTCACGACCATCTGCTACCATAATCTAAAATAATGCATAAAAATGAAAAGTAGAATGGAAGCATTTTGCGAAAAAAATCAGTACACCCAATGACTTCACAAGTGCAATGATCACCAAACTATCATGAATGCATCTTTTCAGTTTCACAGAATTATCTTAGCAGCACATTACAATCGTAATGCGTCAAAGTGGAACACTAAATATTACTACGCAAAATGAGTAATGAAAGTAGATCAACCTTAATCTTTCTTTCTTGGTGTCCGGAAAGAAAGTGCTTTGCCAATTTTAGCAACCAAAGTCCCAAACCACCAGCACCGACGATGAGGATGTTGCAGAAACCCTTTGACTGCGAAAATGCTTCGACAATTGGACGTGCCTGCAGAAAAAAAAAACAAAAATGAATTTTTTAATAGCAGCAACATGTAAGCACGAATTATAGGCAAACAAACAACGATTAGATAGGAATTATGGTGTCCATAATTTTCGAAATCAACAGGACTTCCGAATTCGAAAAAACTCGAACTGCAAAATCTAAAGTAGACGACTTCTTCGAATAGAACTCAAACTAAAAAAAAAAATTAAAACTGCTACGGTCACTAATGCAAAAAAGACATACTAAAAAGCTCCATTTCTATGAAACTATTCACCTCATCATCAGTACCCCTATTACTATCGTAGTACTGTTCTAAATATTCATTTGCCTGAAATAAATCCGATATCATTAATGTTATGGACAAGTGACCCATATAAACAACTTTTCCTTCTGCTTGTCAACTTCTAAAACCACTTGTGATTCGAGGATTTACTTTGGTGTTGAAACTAACTTCTAAATTAAAGTTACAACACTATGACGTACGGCAAGTTACTGAAAAACGTCTCTCTTTTGAAAATGCTATAAAAAAAACTATTTTAAAAGTTAAAGCATTCAAATAAGATGAACTAGATTACTTGAATAACAGCAGAAAGCGCCCACGTAGCACCGGCTGGAAGGATGGAAGCGACGTGCATTGAAAGAGTGTCCGGAATCTTTATAAGAAATTGAAGCGTAGGTACTGTCACATAGTCAGCATAGCCATGTTGACACATCTCATCTGTTGGCCAAACAATTACCTGGGGAATGACAACAGTTAGGTTAAGTATGTATACATAACAAGAAATACGACTGAACAAGCCTGCGCCAAAGGAACTGGACGAACGACAACATAAAATTTTCCGGAATTTAATCTGATGTGCTGAGTCACCTTATACACTATAAGGTGCGCCAGCATTTATCGTAGATACACACATACCTTGTCTCCAATTTTCAAGTCGAATTCCGCGCACTTTGCTTCATCACCAAATGCTTCAACTACGCCAGAAACTTCATATCCTGCAAGGAAAAAACTTTATTGATCTAGAACGATGTAAATGATAAAGTTTCGGTGACTTGCAAAGGATAAATAATAAACAAAATTAACCTGGGAAAAGACTTGTATCTTTGATACCATTCGTAATTCTTGCCTGTTTCGTATTTGTAACTTCACGATCCGTAAGACATACTCCAGCATAACATACCTCAAAATTGTCGTGTAATTCGTTTTCTGTTTCAAATGCTATAGTGCAAATTATTTATGAAAAACAAGACTGAATATCAGTGCAACAACTTGCGTGTTAAGAAAGACATCAAACACGATGTTACAAAATGATCCATCCTTGACTTTACGAGCTATATAATTATTCTTCGAGTCACCATCTATGATATCAAACTTGACAGTAATAATTTTCATCATTTTATTGACTTATGCCAGTCAAACCATTATTAATGATGGCATTTTCATCATTTTACTGACTTATATTTTCATCATTTTATTTGACTTATTTTATTGACTTTTCATCATTTCATTGACTTATGCCAGTCAAACTATTATTAATTGTTATGTTGATTTTACTTAAATCTTTCTAAACATTTGCATCCATCTGATTCTGCTTCAGGTCACGTAGGAAAAAAAATTCGTAAAAGAAAATGCCACCTGCCTACCAGCTTTTCACCGCTGAAAATACTTCCTACTTTTACTTCCCCATATTTTATATTGAAATCTACTTGAACTAAAACATCATGTAAATTTCGAGAAGTAGACGATTAACATCTAAAAAATTCATGGCTTGAAAACTATATGAATGACCCCATTGTTTACGTCACCCAAATACTTTTATGCGACACACGACATTATTACCTGAAGCTAAATCTCATTATCCGCTCTCTTCACTTTCCACTCGAAATAACGAAATCCTGACTTTTGAACCACAGAATAACCTTCCAATTACAGATGTAATAAAACGATACAATGAAGAAGGAATTAATAACTATACCTTAACACGAGCACCTTTCTCTGGGACATCAGGAATTGTTTCTTCTTCAAAGAAATGTACTTCCTTCAAATCTTTGGGTGAACCCAGTGAAATACGCCGATTCTTAACACCACCTGACATCGCTGAATGCTGCAAACAAAATATTATGCCATTTCAACAAAATAAAGCGCTCTTATATAGTAAGTCAACAAAAGACAGTATTGTCGCTCAATAAACAAACATACTTTAACGCTGATAATAAACACGATGATAATAAACAAGAATTACTAACAACCACTGTAACCTAACTAATCTTATTTTAACGGCATTTATCGTAGATTTCTTCATGTGACATTCGAAACAATCGTATATAAATTCCCCTCTTCCCAAGGTATATAATTTCTGAATACAATCAATCACGCTAACTAAAATAACTCCCCATATATACATACATATATACAAAAACACAGACACAGTTCAAACTTCAACAAAACTCGAGCGATCTGCATTATTCATTATATATTGTGTTGAAAAGTTCAAAAAAACGAAATAATGATATCACTTAAAAATCACCTTTTTAATCAAAAACAAACGAATGGTTAAGTTTATAATTGAAAACAATACGCATACATTTATTTATATAATTACTAATTTCTACCGTTCATTCTAATGGCAAAATGATTATTGCAAGTACAAACAATAAGAAATTTATTAAGTAAATAAGAGTGAATTTATTAAGCAAATAAAAGTGAAATAAACATCAAGCTATTTGCTCATTGCAAATTAATCCCATAAAGAAATCGATAACATTTTTAAATAAGTAAACAAACAACGACGAAAAGAATATTTGAAAAAACAAAAGAAAAAAAATGAAAAGGAAAACTTGTTTAAAGAGGGGAATGATGATAGCAAGCAGGATGAGAAATATGGAAGGAAATAAGTGCTGCACCTACGTGTGTATGTGTATATATGTACGTTCATGTGTTGCATGTGTATGTGTGTGTGTGTGTGTGTGTGTGTAAGGATGTGTATCTGCGTATTTATTCAAGTGTTATGTATATGAGTGGTATGTGCGGGAGTGCATGTGAGTGGTATTATGCTTTTGAAAGCATAGTGTGTACTCTTCTCTCGATCATCACAAAAACTATCCAGAAATATCTCGGGTAATGAAGCGGGAAATTCTGGAATATTATTACTCTCTTATCCTAATCACTAATCTCTTTTATCCTTATCCTTCAACTTCAATCAATCTTAATCTATCATACCATATCCTGATCTATCCTAACCCATCTTCTCCTACTACATCATAACTGATCTCTTTTATTTTTGTTCTCCCACCTATTTCTATTCCATCTTAACATTATCATATACTCATATTTTGATCTATTCCATTCCATTCCATTCCACACAATTCTAAATGCCCGACATATAACAAATTATGATACATCTCATCTAACATGAAATTGCATCATTTTAAATTTAATTTTTAAATTCCCATACTTTCTCATTCATAAAAATTGTGTGAAAAATTCATTAAATTCTTTTCCAGAAAATATATCCATAGAAGATTGATATCGAATCGAATACATCAAATATAACTTATCAGTCCTAATCAACAATGATATGCACAAAATGATAAAGCGTCTGATTTGTTAAATGATATTTCGGAAATTTTAAGAATCTTTAAATTGTTAATACAAAATGATAAGCGATAAAACATTGAAACGTCAATTTCATTAATTAAGAGATAATGGAAAATGAAAAGAAAACAAAAAAAATGAATGGCATCTATAAGATTTAATTAACCATCATCAGTTTTAAAAGTGATGTAGAAGACGAAGATTGAAAGAAGGAATAAGTTCTTATCGTGTAAAACAACAAATGATTTTTGATCTTATGGAATAAGTGGATGAATGAGGGTTTAGTTATATTGAAAGGATAAAGGCAACAACCACTGTTCAATATATAAGTAAACCAAAAAGATTCTCTTCACTCCAAAAAGCTTTCTTTTCTTCTTTTTCTCTTTCTCCCCCTCTCTCTCTCTCTCTCTCTTTCTTCCTAACTATGAAATCAATATTCCCTCGGATATGATTTTGCTTCCTTTATATAAAAGTGCACACTTTTTTTCTCCTTTATTCCTATCCAAATTATTGATAAGTATGATAAAAATTATTAATTGCATTAACATTTCACATTACTTGATCAACAACAATCTTTGATAAGTATGATAAAAATTATTAATTGCATTAACATTTCACATTACTTGATCAACAACAATCTTTGATAATTAAATTAAGTAAGACAAATGATATTACAGTTATTAATAAATGATATTACAGTTATTTTTGTATTTAATATATTATCGTATCCATTTACATGTAAGCTATCTACTGTATAAAATATAAACGACGAAATTATTTTGCTCGAAAATTTTTATCAAATAAACTTATCCAAGCTATTATCATCTTTCATTAACTTTTCAACAAATATATGCAATATATATGATTTCGATTGAAATGTTAAAAATGATCACTATCATAAAGCAAAAAAAAAAAAAATGATACCATCATTTAACATTTCCAATTAATAATTATCCGCTTTGAAAAATGCTTACTTTATAGCAAAAGTTTTCACAGCTACAACCGCTCAATGATAATGAATAAGAAGCAAATGGAGTAAAGACAAATGATGAGAATGATTTCATTAATTTCGTAATCGGTTTATTTCACTTTTTTCCCACTCAATATTTTATTCAAAAAAGAAGTAAAAGCATTACTCATTGAAAATTTTTCATTCACTATAACATTAAATGAAAGTGAAGTATAGAAATGATTAATAAAATCTTTTTTCACTAAATTTTAACAAGAGAAACAAAAACAAAAAAAGGAATAGATTCGATGAATGAACTGAAATAATGTATATTTGTAATTTCAGTCATATCTTAACCTGTTCGCTAATTACAGTTATTTCTTTCTTTCATATTTGTTAACTAAATTACAGTACATTGATTGATTTGATCTAATACAGTAAACGATAAAATATTAGCTAATATTAGGATAATATTAAATTGAATCAAAAAATTAAATGAAATTCAAAATCGGAAAACAAAAACATAAAATTCTTCGATGAGTAGTATATCACAATATGAAAATGAAGCAATGAACCTTCCTTTTAACTCATCAAACATTTCCTTTCCTCTCCTTTTCTCGATCATTCATTCATCTAACACAAATTCCCGAACAACAACTACATCGAATACCATTCTTTTTCTATGTAAGTCGAGCAAATGAGATGACCTATATGTTTATACAACGTAGGTGTATATGTGTGGGTGTGCATAATGTATTTATATATATATATATATATATATATTTGCAAATACTTAAATGTGTGCATTACAAATGTATGAAGAAATGCATAGATGTATCCATATAAATGAGTTGATTACATGAATAAATAGCTAATTGAGTTGATGACGAATGAGTTAAGATGTATATATGAAAAATGGAATATAATGTTGGGGTTAGCAACCCTAACACACTGTATTCCATTTCATCCTTCCGTCTTATTTTTTACACTTAATAAGTGTAAAAAATTATTAATTAATTAATGTTATATATATGTATTAATTAATTAATGTTATATATATAGCATTAATAAGTGTAAAAAATAAGACAAAAGGAGTGAATGTAATAGTATTAGGGTTGTTAACGGCTGAAACAAAAACGCGAAAGCAATCTATCGCCATAACTGTTTATTGAGTAAGCGGGGTAGCTATATGATCATATCAATCAAGCACCCATAAAGGCGGGGGATGGATGATACAAGAGAATAGGAAAACAGGAGATGTAGGGTAACTTCATTATCCATTCCATCACAAGCTGTAGCATTGGAGAGTCTATACCAAACCATTCGATAATTCTTCCTGTTTCTTTTCGTCATCCTCATCCTCCTCACCCTTATCCCCTTTTCCTTTTCCCCCTCTTCCACCTTCACGCCATCTCCTCTTCTTCCTCGTACCTTTTTATCCAATATCCGTTACACCACTACTCTCATGAAGGTTAATCAGGAACATCAAATCCGGAGTCGACCTAACCCCAATGCATCATTTCTGCTTCCTCGGAATAAACTCTCTAGCATTTCAATTCTATCTAATCCAGGTAACAATATGCCCCAGTCACTACCGACCATAACTACCGCCAATAGACAACATGCCATTATCCATTTGACCGAGACCTGAAGAGTCTTTTGATACGATGGGGATTTTACTTCTCTCCCTCCCTCATTCCCTCCCTCTCTTCCCGCTTCTGTCTACCTCCTTATCTCCATTACACGCAATAATACTAATAGAAGTGTTTGTTAGTTTGTTCGCTACCTCTCAAGCATGCACTCCGTGCCACCCTTCACACTTCCCTCCGCATATCCACTCAGAATAGCACATCGAACCAATGCTCTTGCAGTTGGTTACATTCAGCAGGGGTACCGATTGCTAAAATGTGCTTCGCACGTGAAAGCCACGTGGCATGTTAGATTAGAAACTGGAAGTGCAATGAAATATGCCACGAGTTTTAGGCGTGAAATATTTCATCCAATGCGAGTTCCTTTATGCGGAAACTTAGAGTGACCATTGATTATTTGATAAGAGCTCTCAGAGATTGTTGAATCATCATTTATCTTTAAATGTAACATTTTTCTATACGTTGAAACCAGCAACTGTGGTTCTTCCACATAAAATAGCATAAACCATAGGATGCTAGTGATGATCGAAAATTATGGGCATAAATATCTACTTCAATTTTCCAACATTCAAATGCTGGCTCGATTCATGAGCAACAATATTTCCCGACTAACTTTAACATTGTTCCAACCACAAATCATAATAATCAGTCTCCAAGTTTTAGTTTTTTATGTGAAATTTCCATCAGTAACTGATATATTTATTCCTTAATATTAGAATAAGCATTTTTTTATTCGCAAAGTTACAATTGTTGGGCAGTTGATTTTTCTGTATTTTTTGATATGGCTTCGGGGAATTACATAGTAATATTGACGTATTTCACAAACAAAAAGATCACCTAATACACATTTTTGTTATTTGTTTATCGCCATCAACAATTATTTGTCCTTCGTTGACCAAAATTCACTAATTCTTTCCATATAAGAGCTGAAATAATGGAAAAAAAATATGTACTGAAATAGGAAAAAATTAAGGTTAATCCTTGACATATTTATCCAAATTGTCTAGGACACTTGTGCTTGAATCGATTAAGCAAACAGTTTGGATCAAGTGACCATAGCAAATCATCAGTACACCGTCACTTCAGGAAGCCTCCTTTACAATTTTTGATGAGATATTTAGTTCGCCGACGTTGCAATGTCCTTAACATTAGCTTGTAATTCGAAACAAACGTGACCAAACAAAATTTGAATTTTTAGAGACTTTACTGCTTTGGATTAATGATTGATGATAAACGATCGGTGATTACCTTTCCATTCTGCAACAGTCTGGCCATTTGACCCTTCGTCCAGATTGAAAGGCCCATCCGCTACTGGCTCGTCCTCCGGCATTGAATATTCCTCTAGATAAGGATGGCTAAGTGCATCTGTTACCGTCATTCTGAAAGCAACAAAAAATATTTATGGTAAATTGAAAATTTTTTGAATTTTTGTTGGCTGAAATCCAGAAAAATCAAAAAGTTGTTATCCTGTCATACACCAAATGAAATATGATTCAAAAATAAAATTCGCAAACCTTTTCTCGGGGTCCAATACAAGAATCCGATCCAAAAAGTTAACAAGATGTTTGGAAAAAGTTTTGGGAAAATAGTCTGAAAAAGATTTGCGCGAATAAACACCCAGCTTTGTTATAACATTGTGAATAGCTTCATTCGAAGCTAGTTTAGCTAATAATTCTGGATCCGGACTTCCACATAGCTCTGCTATCAGGCGATATTGTGCCATTGCTAAAAATTGCATATTTAGTAGATTCTGAAACAGACGGAAAATTTGCACAAAAGATAAGAACTATTAGGTTCTTTATATCCAAGTTTTAGAAAATAAAAGTTCAAAAAGCAATTTCTTAAGGGGAGTACCATTTAAATTCTAGACATTTAACTATCAAAAACTAGAACTTACAATCTTCCCCAGGAAAAAGTGGACGTCCGAGGCTAAGTTCTGCAAGAATGCAGCCTACAGACCATACATCAGCTGAAAAATTCCTTTCAACCAGAAAATGATATTAGCAGAAACAATTTCTAAATAAAAGTATCTTTTGATTTTGCAATAAAATACCTGCTCAATTTCTAACAACAAAATATCTACAGAATTTATCAGAATTTATCGCCTAAGACTATACTATTAAAACTAAAACGAAGATTGGATTCAGATAGTAAGTGTAAATTATAGAAAGGACACGAATTACCTTGCATATCGTAAGAACATATTTTCCAATACATAACTTCCGGACTACGATACCAACGTGTTATCACATATGCAGATAAAACAGTATCATCGGCATTCAATGAACGAGCTAAACCAAAATCCAAAACTGATAAATCGCATTCATCAGTAAGAGCCAAATTGCCCGGTTTCAAATCTCGATGCATAACCTTAACGAAATTTAATTAAATTTGCATTTATCTTTTTTAACTTCTGAAAGCTGCTAACAAAACTTTGAAAACAAATTTTAAATAATTCAGAAAAAATTACATTTGCTGAATGGATGTATTTTAGTGCACGTAACAACTGATAAATAATAAATTTATGATGTTCAGGAGTAAGAATTCGTAATCCTGTCTCACGTTCTCTTTTCAAAATTTCATACAAACTGTTACCAGCATATTCTGTCACAATATACCTGAAGTAAGGGCTAAATGGCTGTGGATATCTCCAATTAATATACTGAAAGAAACAAATCTGAATGAGACAAATACAGCGACACAATTTTCTAACTAGCCATACAGAGCTAGATGAGCTGATCCTGGTTAAATTTCATGACTAATAAAGTAGATAAGTAATCCAGAAAGCGAAGAATCAAGATTGCTTAACGACAAGTTGAGTAAAACGTAAATGCAAAAGAGATGAATTGCTTCCGGACACAAAAATCTATCAGATCTATCATATTGGAGATTACAGGTCATACAGAACTAGATGAGCTGATCCTGGTTATAAAGTACCTTCCTCCTACCATCCTATATTTCTCCTACTCCTTGACCTTTTCTAAAATTTGCAATCTTTAACACGTAACTCAATAAAATATGGTAAAACTAGTTCTTTTTAGACTTCCTTTTTATAAAATATAGTATTGAAAAGTAAATTTCACCTTAAAAAAAAAAAGGTCCACCTAAATCTCTATAACCTAACTCATTTAATAGCAGTATTCTTTCACTGAAGATGGATAATACATGAGGCAGATCTGTTCCAAATAGAATTATTGTGAAACTTACACAATGGAGAGAGTAGGGAGTGAACTATCAGGTGTATATAAGTCTAATAGCCGCACAATATTCTCATGGACCATCATTTGAAGTAGACGAATTTCTCTAAAATGTGAAAGTAGATGTGGATATTTATATTTCAGTTAAAAAAGAACGACAATGCATTCATTTCAGAATTTTTAAGAAGCGATATGAATATAAGCACTCTTTGTTTAAAATTTACAACTTATATAAATATCTTACCATTCCTAATGCAAATGCATCAAATTCTGATTTTTATGACGTATGCTTCGCTAACAAGAGTGGTTTTATCTCACACTATTCGGGCTTGTTAACCTGAACTTAACAGTTGCCGAATTCCACAACATTCTTACATTTCAAGTTTTTTCAGGAGAATGATGTCAAACGACAGAAGCGCTTTTTTTCAAAATTTAAATTCCTTACCTGTACACTCTCAGCGCAGTTTTTTCGTCGCGAAATGGTTCATATAACTTTTTAATTGCAACAACTGTTCGTCGGCCGTCGGCACATATAAAGTTCGTAATTTTTCTGCAAATTTCTCGAAAACCTTATCTTAGAGTTGCAAAAATTTTCAGTTATGCTTTCATAAATTAAAACGTTCCCAAACGAAAACGAAACGAAGAGCATGTCATACATACGTACATAACATTGCCGAATGAGCCACCTCCCAAATATTCAATAGTTGAAAGTTCATCTGTTGAATCGGATGGTACTGCAAACTCCACAGTTTGCATACTGAAATAGCGAAATTGTCGAGCAGGTCTTTGACTTGATTTCAAAAACTGGCCAGTGTTTATTGAACCTAAAATTGATGGCTTGTAGTCTCCACATATTTATAAACTTTTATTGATGTTTTCATTTCTTGAAAATTGATACAAAATGCGTTACTACGACTTCCCTTAATGTCCCCGCTAGATACCAGCATAAACTGTTCAAACATCCCGAATATCTGACGTATTAATGTTAAACGTTACTCTTCTTTTTCCAACAAAATACAAAATTTATCGCAGTCGATCATTTTCTGCGATTAATTCAATCGAAAACAACAATAAAACATAGTGGCTATGGATTTCTGAAAGCACAGTATAATAGCGAATGATTCACCCACCGTCATTGGTGAAAGGCTGCATAGTGGTACCGCTTTTACCAAATAACAATCGAAATGCGTCCTCCTAGCGTCAGTTCCTATATTTGCTTGAAGTTCTCGATAATGACCCGTGATATCACTAAAATGACTTTTTTTCTTCCATGGAAATCTCTGGATCTAATTTTAAAGAAAAAAATGCGTTCCACATATATTTGCCGATCGTGATAATAAAGGTGGTTACAAGGGATCTGTTTTATTCAACACAGAAAACTGCAACAATCCTACTTCGGTTTTCTATCTCTTAAAGATCAATTCAACTTAAATGCACTCTCCACCGAATTTCTGGAAAAAAGAACTATCTACCTGTCAGCCTTCCATTGAAGATCTTTTGTATTATCTGATGGGATAATTGATTTCTTCTAATCCTTCATTAGCACCAAATAGTTGAACGAAAATTGTCATGTAAGCCTGAATGGAAGGAATGACAGACATCCTAAAGTCCAACCTTCAAACTGCAACCCATTCTCTCAAATTTGGCAGAATAAAACGGAAGAACTCCGGTGCGAATATATACTGGAATTCAACTGAAAAATGGTTTTGTTGCTTGCGATATCACCACTATGCACTACAGTATTTATTGGAATTGACTAATTAAATTAACGAACTAATTTCATACATACTTTAAACGAAAAATCAAAAAATTATTGCAAATTCGAAAGATAACATTACTTCTCTCGTTAATTCTTAAAATTTATTTAAACATTTGATCATATTATGTATGAACGTTTCTGGATATGATATATTAGTCATCCCAGGAAATCAAATAACTTGAGAAGACATAACGTAAGCTGACAAACAGCGACTCAAAACTCTCGGAAGCTAATTAAGGAAATAAGTTGAAAGATCGAGCAATTAATACCACACATTTCTTTTTGATGTTGCACTACAGTTTCCGAAGGTTATATACCAAGATGTACTATACGCAAAAGACAAACAGTCTTTCTTAATGGCAAGTCCAAATTCTCAAAACATTTGCATTAGAGTGGTTTATCTATCTTTGAGCAATTCTGAACGAAACATAAATAAAATACTATATATGACATTAATAGCTGATTGATGGAAATATTAATATCACTACATGACTGACTCACTAATTAACGTATAATAAACCTTGTTGCATTAGGAGAGTGGCATTCTCATATCAAGCAGTAACCCCCCTACTCAGCTCGTCTTATGAAAATTGTAAGTCAGTCATACACCCAATTTGATAAATTTTTAAAATCAATTATAAGTAGTATTAATATTCACACAATATGAAAATATTTCATTTGTAGTGTTTCAACGTAGCATTACGAAACCGCCTAAGTTACAACTTAAGTTACAAGTTACAACTGCTGCTAAAAACATGCGAATGCAATAAAGATAAAATGCGATAAATTCTAGAACAGATATACTCAAATTTAATGCCGAGCTACAACGACTGGTCCACGAAAGACATTACCGCCCTTTTTCATTGCTTTTACAATTTAAATTCATTCGTCAAGTATATCGATTTCTTTCTATTCTTGTTGAAGAAGCAGCTACGCTTTTCGCTCGACGTGGAGCTTGCACAGAATCATTCGAAAGTTTTCGAGTACCCGACAACGAACTAGCTCGTGGATTTTCTTTTACAATGTCCGTTTGTCTAAAAGGAATTAGTTTGATTTTGCATTTCACAAAGTTCAAAAAATATGAAAAAGTTAAGCTGCAAAAATCTTATACTTTCAAAAAAAATTACACTGTTGTAGAAACGGCGCGTAAAGTATTGTATGGGCTAGCAAAACAGGAGCTCGACGATCGGTCATGTAACGACAACGTCGAACAACCGGGCATTCTGTAAAATAGGATTACATGTAATGCTTGCATGAAAAATCAGAGTAATTACTGAAATTTTTAAAATTTAACACCATTTTTAAAGTTTCTTCAAGTGATGCTTCTTAATCACCAATTTGCCTAGTCGTATAGACAATATATTTCGAAATATTGATTCGACGACGTACTTTTTACCATCATCAAGGTCTCACCGCCTTAACAGTCGTTCACGATGTCAATCCTCAAAGCATCCCACCTAATTCATCCACTGGTGGCACAGACAATGAATCAATACAGATATTTATGAATTTCATTTTAGATTAAAATGATATTTCCAAAGAAAACTATATTTCCCAATGAACATGTCCTTAGGAGAGGAGGCAATGATTAGTTAACCGAGACAACTATTTAATAAAAGAACTAACACAGGTGGATATAATTTCAACTCTGATTTCGGACTGAACACCATCATTTGAGTATATTTGTTTTCCAAAACTGGATATGCGGGTGGTGGCATCGACTGATAAGGGGATTTTTCGTAAACGCCAACAGGTTCCGTAAACATAACAATTAATTAGACATATAAGCGTAAAGTAAACAGGAAAAATTTCTTTTACACATGTATGAGTTCCGGAATTATTCTTCCGCTAACAAAATACAAACATGTGAAGGTTATGTAAAGCATATTAAGAGTACAAAATCTGCAAATTCAGCAAATTTTTATGCACTTTTCAGGAAAATAAAGGTAGCTTATTCCTAAAGAGATAAATTTTTATCTTTATTTTGAACAAAAAGCAAAGAAGTATTAACGTTAACAGAAAGGCAAAAAAGCTAATAGAAGTATGGAAAAAACGTACCCTTACAGATCGCTTCAAAATTGTGAAACGTGGTCGTCCAAGTTCAGCACCGATATCCTCACTTAAAATCTAAACGAAATGATAGAATTAGGCCACATCCGATACAGAAATACTTATGAATAATAAAACTCAAAATTTTAATAAAATGCAGAAACAATTCCCACAACGAACCTTAACCGATAATATTACACAGACAAGTGATACCAGCACGAGGATACCACCACTAATGAGGAAAATTGAACCAGCTAATTGTATCGGCTTTTGATAATAATATTTCAGATTAAACAATGGAGAATTATCCATTGAGAAATGTGCCAAAAGCAACATTAAAGCACCACCTAATGACAAGAAGATGCCAAATGCGCTTATGCAAATTGCAGACGAAGATCCTCGAAATTTCCTAGAAAATGGAGCAAAATGAGATTTGTTCTGTCGGAAATTTAGATCACAGTCAAAACATTATTCAGTAAAAAGGAAGATGAAAACTGACGTTTAACTGTACTTGTCACGTATGAAATCACAGCAACAGCATGCAAGGAACAAATTTCACGGAACTCGTTGAGAAAATCTGAAATCTAATAAACATTTCCTAATACCTTTGTTAATTTTTGTAGTATTCGCATTAGAAAAGTTAGCCGTTGAAAATGGCGTTTTAAAACATTTAATATGCCAAAGAAATTTATGAAGACGACATATTTAGCAGGCCTTAATCAAAATCACTGCACCCAGGAATGTCATGAGTGACATCCATGCAAAAACCGGAAGATCTAATTATCTTTCACAGAGAGAAAGAGAGAAGGTAAAAATCCTATATGAATATCAATCCTATTCCTTTCATGCAAGCTCTTTGTTGACTTTGTCCTGTTATTACAGGTAAAACCAACAGCTTAGTGAGATATGATGTGAAGTTCTGGACTGCGACATCATTAAGCGATGACTAGTAGTTGTCAGCAAAGGAATTCGGAAGGAAGCTTGAACAAAGATTTGAGAAGAAATCCACATAAGAAAAATTACACACGAAAAACTACAGCCAAATTAAAAGCCAACCTCTTTTCCTAAATGGGCTTCAAAAAACAATCCAAATCTTAAAATTCGCAAATTCATCCGTTATGGATATATATATTTGCATATACTTGTAATCAAGGTCAACTTCGCATCTGATTTCTCAGTTCATTCAACATACAACTCTCTCTCTTCCCTCAATGATGTTAGCAAAATACAACATAAAATAATGCATCTCAAGAAAGCACATCCATTAAAAGAAATACGCAAGGGAAGAAGAAAATTCCTACGTTGCCCGATAAGGAAAAAAACCGAAGTGCGCTGGATACAGAACATCCCATCCTTTTGGATAGTAGTAGAAAAATGGATCACGTTGCGCCATAGGACCGAAATGAAGTACTCTTTGATTACCGAACCACAATGACGGCTCCAATTCGGCTGGTGCCGTTTGTACCATTTCATCCTTACGGTGCATCAGCTGGTGTAGCTTATCTGCAATTTAAAATTGTAGCAGTAATATGTACTAAAAAAATTTTCAGATTATCAACATCACCAGTTTCGCCCAACTTGCATATACTTGGAGAGAAGACAATACTCTATCACATATTCCATGTCAATGTCGTGCATTCAGTATTCTAAGACCTACTTATTTATTATTATCAAAACTTACTGCGAGGACGTCGTCTTCGTCTCGATGGATTGCGCGGGACCTTAGATGAAAAAAACAAGTGGGTCCGAACTCGTTCCGCATTGGGATCTTGACGCGGTTTCCGCATCTGCAATGTGTTTCATTATCAGTACAATAAGATGGACTTACTGCTTATCGTTGAAGAATATTTACCACCCCATCATGTTGGTCCGGCTTTGTTAAATAAATTTCTTTTCCTCTGAATGAACCGGAGACGACAGTTCTTTAGTCCATTCCGAAAATCAAAAAAAAATTTACGTTCCATACTACATTATTTAATTTACGCCTTCAAAGTGCCTTTTATACCCTAGTGAATTAATTTCAAATAATATAAATCGTCATGGCAAGAAGCTTTAGACACTATAGAATCTCTTACGAATCAGAAACCTAGTAGCACCACCGGACATCCGGAAACCAAGCAACGCCTGCAGCTAGATCTTGGGGTTTAAACCATAAAATTTAATTGAAGTACTTTGTACCACCCTGACCAGACCATCATGAAACCAATTGCTTGAAGTACGTTGTTCCGACGGAATTTGATTTTTTCGATTACTTGTAATTAGTGATGGTAAGGTGTCTGGGGAGTTTATTTGCTTTTTAGTTTTTTTTTAATTTCCAATTTTTCATTATTTTATTTTAGAGATTAAATCTGGGAACATGCAACAGACACAGTAATTTCATCCGCTTTTGATAGAGAGATAATGCAATTTACATTATCGCTTTCGAAAAGCTATTTCAATAGACCAATTAAGACCAATTTGGCAAAGAATGACCGATTGCAATTCAAGGAATTTCTTCCGTTAAAATCTACAAATTATATAATGAGCAATTATACAAAACCACGAGGTTGGTTTTCACTTCTATTCATGATATCGATGTAGTTGAATAAGATGATCGTTCACTATATGTTTTCTCTCTTGTTTTTCTTCAACATAAGTTTCTCCACCTTACAATTCTTTCCTCCCGACTTCTTGTTTCTCTTCTCCTCGACATCAAGTTTCCTGGTCTCTTAACTGTATCTTTTCTTCCTGGACACTTCACTGTGACACCTTGTCTTTCCCTGTGTCATATCTTCAGTCATACACATGATGATACTTTTCTGAGAGACAAAATGACGGTTTACGCCCTGGAACTTTGCTATAGTCTTTCTCTTTTTACATAATGTTATAGAAAATTGTACATTTGTTTTTGATCTGTACACATAGAGAACGAGTTTTCCTCTTTTAATAGTAGGAGGAATATTGAATATTTGATCTCGTCATTCAAAATTCGAGGTATTTACAACAGCTCGTGTTCATTCTCGAGATTTTTCATATCTCTGATAGTTTGTTTTGGTTTTTCCTGTTAATTTACACCAGTATTTGCTCTCTGTTTCTGTATATGTCTTCTGGTGTTAAATTCCTAAATACACGTGAAATATCTGTATAAATTCCTATGAAATTTGCAGGTGAAACCTGTACGAAAGAGCTACAAGCCCTTTTCGATTGCTTGAAAAAATGGGAACATGACAACTTACCTTGCGCAGACTTCAATCGAGATTATATGGATTGCGTAACTAGGACTTATAAAGCAAATAAGGAACTTGCTGCGGCTGCAAAGAAGGTAGAACATGTTTCACTCAATTCCTAATTATGCCATATTCACACTCAAATTGTCTTTCACGTCATTTACGATCTTTACGTTTTACATCGTCTTTGCTTAGCAAAATATTCCTTTGCGGAATGTTTCAGGGTATACTTGACAGCGCAGCCGATGGGAAGACCGTATTGACCAAGCACCAGATAAATAATTTGATGGCGAAGTATCCACAGCCTCAACTAGGTCAATATCCATATAAAGCTCTTAAACGGTTGCCAAATCAGTCATATGCAGATGACATCTTCCATAGGAAAAAAAAATACGGAAAAGCCAATTGATATGAACAAGAGTCGTGTAATGTTGGGTGTAACTAGAGTGTCCCACACATTTTAATATAATGTTAGCATATTTCATTAGTGTCAGGAACAAAATTATATCAATCGAAAAACTTTTGACAACGATGGCTACCCTAAGGACTTTTTCAAAATCCCGAACTTTTTCCCATATTTTCGATCTTATGTTATTATGTGCTAACTCCGACTTTGTTGTTTTACTTAATAAATTATGGTAAGCCCCAGCTTTATAAGGAGTTACCCAGATCTGTAGGAACTTCAGTTTTTTGGAAAACAGTGGTTCATATTCAGAGAACGGTTTTTTCAATCTTTAGTAAGATCTGGTTTGCAGAAAGATTGATGCTTTCTCTTTCACGCTATTTTTGCTTTACATTACTAGTTATGTCTTTTCTTTTGAAATGTAATAAAGAAAAATTCATAATATGTGGATGGTGCTTTAAATTTATCGCTTCGACAAAAACTATGATTCAGCGATTTATAAAACAGATGTAAATGTTTACTGCCTCTTGAATTTAAATATTAGAACTAGTGTATCTGGTATTACAATTCTCTGCGCTCAAGATTTCTTTTAAATACTGAGCTTTTGATAGTTCATGTAGAGATTGAATGATTTGATTTAAAACACTGCTCCCCTTCATGACATTTGCAACACCTTGCCATGTTTTACCCAAACGGTGATCTGTTACTTGATCATCCTTGAAATTGTATGTTCGTACTTTTTCAGCTCGTGCCTTAGTTCCTACCTAAAATATTCTTTCAGTAATCGGAAATTTATAGATGTTGAAACAAATTAATTTAATTTTCACACACCAAGTAAAACTGCTGTAATAACTAACTTGTAGTTTTCTGGATGATGAGTACTGCTTCTGCGTTTCATCAAGTTTCCGTTGTAACAGTATCGCAGCTAATCGTTTGTACGCTATCTAAACGTAACAACTGGACTTTAAAGAGCGTAAAAAATATTTGCAATTCAATGTCAGACAATGGTAAATAAAAGTTCAAGTTTCTCTTGCATTTACATGATGGCGATTGTATCATACTGTCATTAGTAACATAAGTGAGAAGCGGAAAAGAAAAAGGATATACAAAGTTATACTTCCATATTAGAATATTGCGTTCTTTCATCGGTACAGTGCACTGTTATACCCGTTTTACGGTGCGTTAGACGGACCGCTGTGGATCGCTGATTGACATTTTGGCCACCAGGACCCGAAGCTCTCATTGTTTCTACTTTCACGTCAGCTGATGTCAAGCAAGCTTCTATCTGAAAACATTTCATGTGTTTTACATTTTAAAATTTGTCTAATTTTAGAACAAATTCAATTGCATGACTTGTAAAATGAAAATAGTGTCCATATAAAACTAAATTTGAATAATTGAAACATTTTCTAATTATCGTACGCGAGCGAAGATAAAAAATGAAATTTGTTTAAAATGATATGCGAAAAACAACAGGAAAAAGATGGACCTTTTCTGGTTCCGGAAGAACAGCTACAACAGATGTACTTGTGTGCATGCGTGTTTTATCCGTTACTGGAAACCTCTGTACACGATGAACACCGGCTTCATAACGTAACGCTCGAAATGCTCCGTTACCTCCCACAAAAATTACAGCACTACGTATGCCTCCTGCAAAGCACAGTAAAGCTAACTAGTTGGAAACGTTTTCTTGACTAGAATTCAAAAGTTTTAGAATCTTAACTCACCCGATGGTGAAGCATCGATTTGATAAGGCGTCCACTTCCACTTCATGAATTGGGCGTAATTATGGTACATTTGAGTTAATTCGGCTGAGAATAAGGATGCTTCAATACCGCCTACACCTCTATAAAAGAAATACAGTTTATCATAATTTCGGCAAGGCAGCAGAAATAAAATTCAAATCTTAAAACCGATTACTAATGTAAATCTTCTTTATCAATTGCATAATGTAAATTGTAGAATTCTTTCGAAAAAAGACAATCTTTAGTACAATAATAAAAATCCTCCAGTATTTGGGGAATAAATTCTCTAGTAAGATAATTAAATAATGACCAACGGAGTGATTTCTAGTTGACAATTGCTTAGCGAATCGTATTCAGTAACGGGTATTATGGCATCAGTTAATTCGTTCACAACACTATCCAATTCCTCCGTTAATCGTTCACTATCCAACTTGGCAATTTCTTGTATTTCTGCGTCATTTTCCACTTTAAACGATAAAATTATTATTATTTTGAAAAGAACGTGTTCGAAAAATACAAAATCTTACAAAATGGAGAACCTTTTAAAAGCATATCCAACTGTGTTAGCATTTCCAACTTATCGTAAAATGTGTGAGCCAATGTTGTCACAGTTTTTAAGTGTGTGGTAGAAGCAGAATTATCAATCCTCGATACATCACCCACATTTTTATGGAGTGCTTTCAGCTTAGCGGATATAATTTGAAAATAACTTCGCGCCATTTCCGTACGAAGCAAGTCGGCACAACGGCTCAAGAATCTTCGTTGTATCCAAAGCATGAACGATAATTTGAATACTGAATAAAATAATAAAATTTAAAATGAGTTGTCTAAATTGAACATTGATAAGACTAGAGTGTATTATTTGGCACTGAAAAGATGGAAATAAAATGGCAAAATTAAAATATACCATATGTTTGAAGATGCCAATGGATACAATTTAATCCCGTAAATATTGCTATAAATAAACTTGATCCAACAATCTTTGAAGTTTTCTCAATAGAATTAGATTTTTTCTTCCAGAAATTTTCAAATATAAAACCGATAGAATGCTAACAAAAGAACAGAATAGGTTAACATGAAAAAACTGTTTTCAATACAAAAAAATTGAACGAAATCTAGGTACTAATTAAATTAAACTCCAGCGCTATTTAAACAAAACTCCGGTATTAAATGAAATTCCGGCATTACACAGTCCTCTGCAGTAAGCTAAGATAGAATAGATTTTGGTGAGAGTGCATCGTGGTGATGGACGACGAGTAGAAAGATAAGACACATGTAAACTAGACGTTGATGATAAACGAAAAGGTGAATGGGTTAGGCGATAGATAGGATGCGACGTTTTTCGATTAATAACGTGATGATTGATTGAGATGGCCAACTGTTAGTTCGGTATTCTTCTTGGTATTCTTTGTGAGTTGCAAGAAGACTTGCGTAATTCTAGGTTAGATAAACGTAACGTGTATATTTTACTCGTATATTCGAAGAACATTGTCGAAATAGTTTCTTGATTTTAGGTCAAATAAATGTTCACGTATATATTCGAGAATTGTTAAGAAATTTGATTTTCTTCCTTTGAAATATAATCAGTTTTTGCAACCAATTTTAGTCGTGATATATTCATATCCCGTGAATGATTCATCAAATAAGTATTGCACATATCTAATGAATATTATATATGTCTATATGTATTGCATTTACAAAAAGAAAAGAAAGCGTATGCAACGATTATCAGACTTATCTATTGGATATTTATCCAGCAGATATCACATATATCCAACTAGTACTGCACACATGTGATAGGTGCCATGTTTTCTGCTGGCACCAGCACACATCTGATGATTGCAATCGATCAATTTGTGTATGAAATATTTTCAAATAAGAATTTCTTGAAATAAAAGGAATTGAGTTTCATCTTATGCCGCGTGTCACATCTAGAATTTGTTCACTTTCATTGTTAGGTTCATAATCTACGTTGATTTTCATTGATTTTTGCAATATTCGTCAGTAAAAATGATCGTCATTCAAACAGTGGAATTGTTTATGAAGGTTCGCCATTATTGTTAGGTGCGTAGCTCTTCCACTGTTCGTTAAATAGTAGAAAGGCGTTTTGCCGACCATATCTTTCGTTCTGTTTGCTTCGGGTTTAATGATATTCGGAGGAATAATCTTCTTTCTCTTAAAAAAGACTACAGTCCATGAATTTGAGGCAGATGTAGTTTTTATTTCCCTGATTTATTCAATTCTGAGTACCAATATAGATGAACAACGCATATCTATGCATATTTATCACGGTAAATCATAAGAATTATTACTATTGTTATCAAGAAATATTACTAGAATATCGGATTGATGAATGTTGAACGAGTGGCGTGGTCCAACCATATCAGTTCGTGCATTAACCAACTACGAAATTTCTGATGAGCTCTGTCGTCGGCAACTTCAGGTGAGGGATTTATCTAAACATGTTAAATATATATATCGAAATTTACGTGTTATATTGTTTGCCTATGTAATCATCCTTGGCTATCTATCCATTTAACTGTCTCTTACTGTTACAGCTGCATTAGTGCAGTTTTTTAGGTGCTGGAACGTCGATATGGTGGCCGTCTGCGCGCTCATACAGCTGCTACACGAATACAGCGAGCATTTCGTCAGTCGTGTTTGTTGAAACAATGGAAGCATTTGGTATTACCAATCCAAAATAGTGCAGTGTGTCCCAAAAGTGATGGCACTCAAGGATGTAATGATCTTTCAAAGCGTGATACATCTTTGACAGATACACCTAATGCTCAAGCATGTCTTTATCGACCTTCCGTTGCACTAATTAGGTAACATCTTACTTTAATGTGTTCCCTAAACTATAGACTGGCTTATCAAACAATGTCCGACATCGTTGGTGACGGTTCATTGGTGATCATGAAATAATGATTTAGATCCTTCATTTTATGGATTCTATTCCACGTTTTAGGCCGAGGAATTCCTCGCCACACATTACGAAATCGATTCCTGAACGAGGCTGTAAAATACCACTTGCAGTTGGAGAAAATATTGGAAACGCCAGATTTGGCAGTAATGTATCTCATCGTTCTGCTGTAGAATGCTTGTCACCTCGACTTTCTCAAAGAAGGTTGGTCTACATTTCCAAAAAAAAACTGATAAGTTTTTCTCAGGAGAACTGGGGAAGTTTTCTGTGGGCTATTATTACTGAGAATAAGGGCAGCATTGAAACCTAATTAGGATAGGCGTAGCAAGGGATATTACCCATCCTTGTTTTGATTCAGGATTGTGACAGATATGGTGCACCCAACAACACATGTTTGGCTTCCTCGTTCATCAGCAGTTACGGGTCGTAGCAGTCATTCAAATTCGCTTCCTCGTCTCGATAAGCATGCAATACCATGTCAGGCCGTCAGGTTAATGATTATTTCAAAAATGACTAGATTCTAACATAGTGATCGAAAGATTATTTTTCTGGAAGATCAAGGTTCAATGTCAGGATTAGTGAGCATTCGTGGTACTCGCACTGTTCTGGGAAACAACATTTCCAAAAACCAGAACTAGAATTAGTGAGCTAGTTTTATTCTCGATTTTTGATCTGGTTGGGCAATCCCAGTCTTTCGACTAGTAAGAATTCAATAATGAGAAATTTTTGCCAAAAAAAGAGCATATTGATCCTATGTGGGAGTATTCATAATTGGCGATAACTTCTCGCATGACCTGAAGAAAGCTGAATTTTCTGATGATTGTTGAGAAATTTTATTAATTTCCTTATTTGTCTAATGTGCATATTGTTTGCAGCACTTCATCGAATACCCATGGAGTGGCAGACCAGCGAAGAAGACGACAATATAGAATAGCGCTTAATTTCTTTAATAAGTGGGTTGTGTGCTCTAAAAATAATTTGCAAGGACCAAACGGAGAATAAGAGAGAGTTTTAATCCGCCGAAAGTTGGGAGTATATAAATGTAAATGCTGGATATGTGCGTTTCATATGTCTGTTTGTTATGTCCGAATTAGTGCACTAAAGAAAATATTTGAAGTAATTTCAGGAAACCTACACGTGGTGTGCAATATCTCATTGATTGGGGTTTTGTTGAAGATAATTCCCTCGCAGTTGCTAATTTATTATTACATCGTCGTGGTTTAAGTAAACAAATGATTGGTGAATACATTGGACACTTGCGCAACCCTTTTCAGTCCTCTGTTCTCAGGTAAGTGTAGTAATATGTTTGCTTTTCAGTACATAATTTCTTGACTTTACTGGAGTCTTTAAATTAGAGAAGTGAAATTGCAAAGATGCTTGATTTATTTGCTGACAGCACCCGAAGCAGTGAATATCGTTAAATGTTGTGTAGACTTCTAGTAAATAAACCTACTTTGAATTGATTGTGAGATGTCAAATGTCGGTTCGCTATTTAATAGAACTTACATTTTCTCTATTTCTTGTCTTTTCATGGTAATCATTTATCAGTTTTAGTCATTTCGTTAACCAGATTGATTTACATGGGATGGAAGTGGACATTGCCCTCAGACACACGCTTTCGTTTTTTCGCCTTCCAGGAGAAGCGCAGAAAATCGAGAGAATTATGCAGGTCTGTAATTAATCTTTCTTTATATTTTAAAGTTATTTTTTCTGTAAGGAATCTATCTCTATTAACGATGGATGGATTAGATAGAACGATTTAATGAACTTATTCACAAGTAATGATCTGATACAGTCCGTCAAACTTGCGTTTTTACCATGTAGTTACCCTAATCTGTTCATTCTAAATCATGAAGATATGAAACCGGACGAGATTTTCTTTTTATTTTTTCCATATCATTGAAGGATATGTTTTATACAATTCGTTATAGGTCTTTTCTGCTCACTACACCATCTGCAATCCCGATAAGGTTGCACTTTTTCACAGTGCGGACACAATATTCATCTTAGCGTTCGCTATTGTTATGCTTAATACAGATCTTCATTCACCTAATATCAAGCCGTCATTGAAAATGAAAGCGGAAGATTTCATTAATAATTTACGTGGAATCGATGCAGGATACAACATTGATAGGTTCATTTTGCGTGAATTCTTTCTAATATATGCCAATTTTGAATAATTATGTGAAACAAGCTGACAGATAAGCATATTTATCAGCTTGTTAAGCATTATGTAAGCATTATTTTTCGTAGTAAAAACCTAATTTCTATGTTAATATGACATCTCATTTTGTTATCTAATTTAAGGGCACTGTTGGTTCGTATTTATCGCCGGATTCGTGATTCACCTTTTAGTACTGGATCAGATCACGTATCTCAGGTTATTGTGGTCGATCAAAGTATGGTTGGTAAGGATAAGCCAGTAAGTTGAATAATTCAACTTCATAATTTAGTTGAAAATATGCTCCCAGTTTTAATTGATCAAGCAAACTCAGTACGCTTATAATCAGAATTTTTTAGAATTTGGTAGAACCACATCGTCGCCTTGTGTGTTATTGTCGTTTGAACCAGATTATTGATCGTAGTAAGCGACAACCAGCCAATGCTCATCAACGAGAAGTTTTTTTATTCAACGATCTTTTGCTGGTAAATTTTTAACTTCGTGATTTTTAGCAAATTAGTGATGATCTTTTCCTATGGAGTATTTGTTATAGTCGGGGAAAGTATTTTCTGAAATTTTTTGTATGACTGAAGAAAACATACTAAGAAAGAAGATTTTAATTTAGAGGTTGTAGTTTGCAGAAATATAGGTTCTTAGTGACCAACTGTTGAACGTAATCTGTAAAATATTTTGCAAATGTAGATTGCAAAAATGGCTTCAAAGAAGAAATCATGTTGTCAGTATGTATTGCGCACGTGGATGATGCTCTTGGGAGTACGTGTTAGCATGTTCGAGACTCCTTTTTATGATTATGGCATTATGATCACACTATCTGATGGACAAGAAATTTATTTGAATTCGAAAAATAATGACGACAGGTAGGGAAACATGCCTTCCTTCATATATGAAGTGAGCGAGATGAGATAAGCTTTTTCATGATTGTTTTTGTATCTGTAATTTTCTGGCAGTTTTAGGCATCGGTTCGTGGCAGATATAAAGGAGTCAGTAGCCGAATGTGCTGAAATGGAAGCGGTAAGAATTGATGCTGAATTGGACAAGCATTCTTTGATTAGTCGTAGCGAAGGACCACGTGAGCGAGATTCGGGTTTATCTGAGATGGAAGGCAATACTTCGAGTAGTGTTGTTAATACATCACCTAACACGCCTCAGCAAGCTTTAAATTTATGCTCCATACGTCGTCTTAGTTTTAATTCATTCGATAGTGGAGTTATTGAGGAAAATTGTGAGTCGTTTCACCATTCAGGTCTGTCATCTGTGTCACCTTTCTACTCTTCAAAACGTTTGGAAGCTGCTATATGAAAGAGGTTTTTATGAGATTTTGTTTAAAGGAGAAAAAAAGATTGCTTTACCATAAGTAGGTTATTTCTGCTGACTTGGATTTTCATTTTTTTCAGATATCCAAAACTTTTGTTCATGTTTTACATCCTATGGTGCCGTTCTTTAGCTTTAGTAATTCTCCTGAGGTTCCTTTTTTTTTTGTTTGTTAAAAGGCGTGTAATACAAAAATCTTATCTGTTTAAACTCATTTATTTGTTGTTTTCGTTCCTAAATACGCCGAGCATAAATTGCGAAAAACGCCGAGAGCTTATTCATTTCATGCTTTTATCTCTGATATAGGTGGTTGCAGAGGTTATTTGCTAGTGGTAATTTTTGAACCGAATTTATGACCGTTAGAAACAGGATACGAAAAACGTATGGACATACCAGCTAGAACATCTGGTGTGTTGTGTATCGCTTTTTTGCATTTTATGTAATAGAGACGGCGAAATATCCAAAGATATCTCAAATTTCTTGCATGTTCAGAATAGTTTCTAGGATGAATCAATTTTTGTCCGCCAGTTGTTTGATTTCCTTCTTTCTGGTCTTTTTTAGTCTGTTAATGGAGGTGCTAATACCTGTTTTTCTCTTATTTTAGTGGTCCTATTGTAGTCATGCATTGTTCTTCTGTGATTACTTGGGTCTTGCGTCCCTGTTTTTACTACTCTTTTCTTTCCTTATTTTGACTAGTGATGTTTTGAAAATAGCCGGAAACGAATAGCTCCTAGTTATGACTATTCATGAAAATGATATTATACATCAGTGTTATTTTTGAAAATAATGTTGTATATCAGTGGTTTGTAACATGCTTATCCCTTTTCCTTAAAATGAGATCGGTTGTGATAGTGAATTTTTTATCACTCATGTAATATCTGCCATGGTTTTTTCAAAAACATTGAAACGAAATCTATATGTATCTATTTGACAGTTGCAATTCATTTCTTACTGAAGTTTTCACCTATATGAGAAATCCCTGCAGAATGTTCATGCAGAACAACTGTATGGTCTTATGATGCAGTTATTTCTTTTGTGAACAGTATATGCAAAATTTAGAGGATCAATGTCATATTTTCGTGTTCGCATGGACATGAATTTATGCTCTCAATCCCTTATCTTTTTTTACGCATATATGATTTCTTTTTTTATTTGGAATTGTCTTTCACGTCATTTTGTGCCCTCCAAATTTCTGATTAGTTTTTTAAATAAAGTTTTTGTGACGTGATGTTTCACAGCTTATTGCTCCGTAGATAATGGCAGAAAGTTATGGCTAACTTGTATCGTGTGAGCAATTTATCTCAATTCTGATTGGGAGATTATTTGTTTTAGGACGCTTTAGGATTCACAAATGGACGTGGACAGTGAATAAGCAGGTTGAGAGGCTGAGTCTCAGTGATATTGATTGATTATTCAGTAACTGTAATATTGAGCAGGTGTTCGGTCGTTAAGACAAGCCAAGAAAGAATTGTGTGATGCGCATACAGAATCAATGAGTGGAGCAGGTAATCGGTCGAAACTCCGTCAACTGGACAAGCTAATTGCCAAAGCGAAACAAAACTTGAATCCGGTAACTATGGAAGTACGGCATACGACTACGCAGACTAATAAGCGTGAACAATCTGAGTTAGAAAAGAAGGCTCGAGAAGAGATTCTGAGGGATGTTGCGTTGAATGTTCGTCGCTACGAGAAAATTGGACCACAGGGCTGGTGTGTTTTATTTGAAAATTTATGTCAACCTGTTGCTTTTGTTTCGTGCTTATGTCAGGCTACACGATTGAGAGGATAAGTGTCGATCCGTTAAAGTCTTAATTGTGACGTATAATCTTGTACATTGAGATCATATTATATGGTGGAAATAATTCCAGTTATGGCGAAATACAGCAAAGAAATAAAATCAATAATGAAAATATTTCAGGAAAAGGCCAGCCTGTTTAAAAACGAATAAGAAATTTCTCGAACGGATATTACGTGCGACACGACCGAAATCAGGTACAATAAAAGAATTATTATTACTTCATTCTGTTTTTGTGAAAATGATTCTAGTAACAATACAAACTTCTGTTATATTCGTAATAATTTTGGTTTTTTTCTGGAATGAAAAGGGGTAAGACTTCAGTGAATTTTGACTCTTCCAGTATTATCCAGTAGTGTTGCTTTTAAAATCAAGTTATCTCAAAGTCAAGTAATGCAGTTTCAAGACTCAATTTAGATTTAGCTGACTGCGGCAACCTTTGAAATTTCATTATTTGCAGATATTAATGTGATTGAAATAGTATATTTATTTATTTCTTACATTGAAAATGCGTCAGGTGGAAAGTGCAAAAATCAAAACAGTCAATAGGAAATACGTTTCGTTTGGGTATAATGGTTTTTGACAGAATGAGAATATGTTAACGGTGAATCCACACCATCATCAATCTCGAGATGGTTTGCATTGATAGCTGGATCTGCAATTAGCTTCAAATAATTTCTCGAACTAGAACATTATCTCAAAGTCATTTAATGTTTGACAATCTACTTAGGTTCATATATTGTTTGAAAACTAACTTCAGGTTAAGTGTTATATAAAATTTATCTTTGAAATGCGCTGAATTTTCCTTGTTTTAATTACTGCTGTTGTGTATATTTATCTAAGTTTTGGATACATAAGATTTTTTTTAGAAATGAAAATTTTGATGTATATAATGTGTATTACGGTTGCAAAAATTTATAGCGCACATGTGACACACTTCTCCGGAATATGCCACCAAATCATAGACCGAAGTTCATCCTCTTCGGATTGCTGACATTTAATTTAAGGACAAAAAAAACAATATTCCATTCGGATATAATTCTTGCCTACCACCTGTATGGTAACTGAATAGTCGAGTTTGTCTTAGCAAATCCAGCGACGGAATGTTTCAAATGACCATCCAATGAGCGTACCAGCGGTGCCCATCACAGTTCGCCTAATTTTGATGGACTTCTGGACAATAAGCTAGGGAAGGGACATATCAAGGAGCTTACATCCAAAGCTATCTTCAACTTTGAATTGAATTAATTCCCGAACGGACAGATGGTCGCTAAGAGTAGTCAGTTTTGCTGAAAAATTAGAGGGCGTGATAACGACGAAAACTGCCAACCGGAAACAAAAACGACGAAACAATAAATGCATCATGCATCGCGACAAGGTAGTTAAAATATTTTAAGTGTATGGGCGTGCACTGCCTTATGCCTAATTTCCTTCCGGTAAGATATCAGATTATGGGTTTCCTACACAGCATATATATTATCAAAGAGAGGCAGTTGCCATCTACAGATAGACAAGGGACAGACAGAAACAGAACTTGGAAGTTTGAATGGCTCTGCTTTCATAACAAATATGTTAATGCCTCGTTTGGATCTTGGGGTCTTACTGTTATGCCAAATTAATGATTGAACAAAAAGGCTACCAGCTTTGGGGGATATCAGTGTTGCTGTTTAACATTCCTTTGTTAAAATCGCATTTTATGTAATTTCTGTAGAACTGTAACATCAAATTTATGTAGAACTGCAACATTTTGTGTAGAACTGTAACATCAAATCATTTTGGTAATAATCACCGTATGGAACTAATAATGAAAATAATATGTCCCAACTTAGGGAGCACATAACACCTGTAAATAACAGAAAGAAACAAGATAATTATAAAAACAAGTTACTCTAAAAACCGATAACAAAAAGGCTACCAACTTTTGGGGGGATATCAAATTAATGAAAAGTGCCCAGAACCTTTGCGAGCTGTTGTCATGTTTATCACAGAAATAACATGTGGAATGTAGATAAATACACATCATTGAAATCACCAGGTCCTATAAGATTAACAAAAATATTTCTCAAAATAAATTAATTCCTCTTCTAAAATTTCCCCTACTATAAAACATGAATTTATAAAACATAAATCTCTATGCATCAGTATCTTCGTCATCTGTAACTGCCTGCCCCAATTCTACCAACTTCCGTCTGTATTCAAGTATTTTAGCATCCTGGTCAGCAAGTAATACTAGCAAATCTTCCTGCTCTTTCTTCAGTACAGCTATTTCGTCATCATTCACCATCTGAATAAAATGAGAAATTCAGAAAATTACAATTCGAAATCAAGTATATGCAAAAGAAAATGGGTATCAAATGATTCGATCCCTTCCATTTTTCTCATTTTTCTCTTGACCTCATCCTTTTAGCAGAAAAAAAAAGAATAGGGTGCAGTATTTTAGTGATTTAATATACTGCTAAAAAACCTTTTCAGGTGGTACTTGTTTGCAAGAATGATCCAAAGCTGTCTGAGCAATTTGTTCTTCAAGAACACGAATTCTCGATCTTGCTTCTTCGATCTCTTTCAAAGCGGCCGCTAACGACACTCCTTGAGAGTCGTACATTTGCCAGCCGCGCTCAAGCTGCTCTTCCAATTCCTTGATTTGAGAGATAAGTTGTTCCACAATTGGATTTTGAGAGTTCGATGACTGAAAATCATCTGAACTCTACAGAAAATTTAATATGATAGTTTACATTTTAAACTGATAATAAACACTTTCAGCCTTTCGAATATCTAAATAAACCTGAGAAATCTGGTACTGTTGCCACTGTTCTGCCCATTTCTGATACCTTTTCGCTTCTGAATGCCACTGCATGGCCATGCTGGAATGTGTTATCATACTTCACAAATGCATTTGTAATTCAGCAAAAAAAGGAGATAAACTCGCATGAAAAAGGTCACTTTGATGACCATCGACCTTATAGCTAATAGTGGCCAAAAAATGTAATTTCAGAAGAGAATGTTTGAAAATTATGAGAAAGCATATTTTTGCAGGTCAAGTTAAACAGTTCGGGATACTTTGTTACGGTAGCTAAAACTTCAGATTTAATGTTTTAGGTTTTGTGGACCCGCCAATCGTAAAAATAAAAATACAAGAGTCGAAAGTTGAAAGCATATACGAGTATGGCTCTGAAAAATATTTTGAAAAAGATCTCACGTACTCACCACTTATAGTGTTCAATTTCTTGCTGTTTAGGAACACTGGCACCATTAACTTGGCACTGTTCAGCAAGCTGCTTCCAAAGCGAAGCTAATTCATTTTCCTTATCATAATTCTGAAAAAGACTGTTTTAACTTACATAAGAACTGATTACTTTACTTTACACAAGTTATTTTGATAGATTTCATGAAATGATACTAAGAAATGAATGATAAAAAACAGACATGAATCCCACACCACAAAAGCCTATAATTTAGTTATTGTAAGTAAAAACCTGAAGATTTTTAGCATCTTCTTTGAGCTTCTTTATCTGTTGATTTAATGATGCAATTGTTTCATCCTGACGCTTTATCAGCTCTTTGTATGAATTAAAAACACTGTCGTTATTGATACTAGAACTTATTTCGGCAGATGGACATATCTGTTTGACCATTTGACCTAACAAATGTCGGAAATATAATAGGTTTAATAATTTGAACAGAATTTAAGTGAGATATTATTTGAACAATGACTGAAGTGAAGAATTTATATATACTTGAAGTTTTCTAAAATTCAAGGAAACCTAGACTTTACAGACGATGTAAATCCTAAAATTCAAATGATTTGATAAATTAATTAGAACTGAAGGCAATGTACAGACCGGAGTGCTCTAACGATTGACATCATGAGTTTTTTCCAGGACTGAAAATGTATGACCTTGCCTATCATGTTAACAGTATTCTTCACCAAAAAGAGCGGCTATAGGCAGGAAATGATTTAAAATCTAAGCAAAAAAATTTTCGTCATGACAAAAAAAATTTTTAAGGAACCCTCGACATTTTTGAAGAACTTCGTGAAATGATAATCCAATAACAAGTCTTGAGCTGCTTTCGCTAACGGCTGTGGTCGTTGCGCAGCTTTTACGTAATGCTCGCAATGTGAGAGGCCTTCCAACAATTCAACTAGCTTCTCTTTTCCAACGCGACGTTCCACTACCACACTCAAAGCGTTTTTTCTGGAAAGCATTTAATATTATCATCTAAAAAATAATACAAAATAAAGTCGCATATGTGTGTTAAGGTGGAACAGAAATACATATACACTCTGAATGCTCAAAGTCTACCTGCTTTTATCCTCGCCAGTTTCATCGAAGACTAAACATATTGTAAGCAGAAAGGCTATCAACCCTCTTACAACTTGATTCTCATCTTCAGAACCTTCTGTGCCATATCCATCTTGAAAAAAACGCCCAATGATTTTATAAAGTTCATGAAAATGCAAACGAAGGAAACATCTATATCGAGAATTCAAAAGTTTTATCCATTACCTTCGAATGACTTCAAAACATGTGGAATTTAAAATTTGTGCTGTACCTATGTGTGTCGTTAAATATTGGATATTCTCTTCAATTGAGATAAATTGTGTAACTGCCAGTGGACAATTGTGCAACCATGTTGAAAGCAACATAAGAAGTCCAGCCCTTGTTTGTGGTCGACGGTTTCCCAAAGAAATCTGAAAAAATGTTTGGTTAGCTCGTAATTCCAGCAAAAGCTCATATGTGTTCAAATTCAAAGAAAACTAACCAAAATAGTACTAAGATGTTGCAAAAGTGAAGAAGGCGTCTCGGAAGGATTCGTTGTTAGTTGAACTCTAAGCAGCTGCTGCTTGAGATGATCCGTATCTAGAAGACAATGCAGCAAGCAAACACAACCAAACCATACCTGAACACTGATTAGAAGTGAACTCATTAAAAAAACGCTCTTGTGGAAAACGATGAAATAAACTCATACACTTTGAAATCTTTTTTGATTTATTTTAAAAATTCAACTGTTTAAACTTGCAATTCTATTTGAGTTTAATGTTTCACAGTTTCATACATATCTATTCATTTCCATATATATATATATCTTGCCTGAACAGTTTCCGAACTCAGAATTGCAGTACATATACACTGCCCAGTAGTGATTTCTGCATCATTTGAAGTTCCCGAGGGCAATAATGTATCAATTACCTGCAATGGATTATTAGAGAATTCAGATTCTCCGAGGCACAACAATCGCAAACGAAGAACGATGCTAGCATCTGCAGGTATTTACTAATTAATCAGGTGTTTATTAATCAATAAAAGTTATAGGTTTTAATACTCATTATTTTCTAATTATCCCTATAGGGCAATATTCTGTCGTGTTTTGGAATATATGTCATTCTTCATATAACATTAATGACTGTGAAACTGCTGATGTTTTATAATGCAGAACTAACAAAACAAAACCTACTTTTGTTTTTCCAAATTCGTTGTCATATAGATAAGAAAGGAAACAATAAAAAACAGCACACCGTAGTTTGAATGGTTGCTTGTCAGTATTCATTGATAATAAAAGAACAATTAATGCCGGTCTGTAAGACAGAAATTAAAAAAGCATACAAAACAAAGAACTTATCAAAGAATATTTTGCATTGCAACTATGCATACGAGAATTTCCAGAGAGAACGGAATGATATCCTCCAGAAATATCAATTGTTTAAATGTTTTATTTAAACATCTAGCTACCTGCTCCCAACATCAGTTGCAAGACTACGAGTTGAAAAATATTCCTGATTTGCATAGTCACCACATATCACTTCTGCTACAGTGATGATAGCTTCAGTGAGAACTTCCACTGTTGCTACAATTTCAGACAACAAAACACTGCATAAATTTTTCAACATTCCTGAAATGCTGTGGAATTTATGAAATAAAAAAACAACTGCAATATTGCAAAATTAAAGATGGATTTACAATGCATTCTTCCTTTACCACGATTACTTCACTGGTTTGTTAAAAGTTTAAAAAAAAAAAAAAAACACCGTAGTCTAATGAAATGATGAATATAAACGTGAAGTTAGCATGTCAAATTATATCTTCTTTTTGTCATATGATAGCTGATGATATGATTCAATAAAAGACACCTTATGAAATTTGAATGTTACGAAAATTAAAGAGATATCAACGGCTCAGAAAAGAAAACAAAGTTACCAATTTATCTGCACCTTAACTGTTAATGCCGCAATGCTAAAACATATCAAACGACTTAACGTAATAGAAGTTTCTTTTGCTCATAATAATTTAATCAAATTTGGAAACTTAATGAAATGTTTAACGGATCTTTGCTTTTTATCCTATTCAAACAAATTAAATTAGCTAAACCGCTGACATCAAGTTCTTCCTTCAAGGAGTTAAAATAATTCAGTGCGATTATACTATCCAATACTCCAGCATCTATCTTGTCTGTCATTAAAATAGGTACTAAAAAAGTGTCTTTACTGAAGTGTCAAATCTTTACCAGATTGCGAAATGGCTTTTTGTGCAGCGTGTGTGTTGTTCTGCGAATTATCCTGCGGAGAAACCAAACTTCGAACAACTTGAAGTAAAAATATTACATTTGCAATTCTTTGTTTTTGCCATTCATAATCGCGCTGCGGCAAATCTTCCTCATCCTCTCGCCCATATAAAAAGCAGCTCAACAATACCGCTAAGCGCTGTATCAAACTGGAAACAAAGCAAGTTTTCCAAACTTTTGAAGTTAAGTTTTTCTTCGCCTGTAACATGAGGGTTGCACATCTCAATATCAATAGCCTGGAACTATCTCACATAATTGTTACTTCTACTTTCTTGGTTTTCAATAACCAGCATTTAATAGTGCCATCTACATTACTCTGACGATTCTACGATACATATATCATCATATTGTTCCAAAATTACAGCGAGGTATGGATTTTCTACTTTTCCTTCGTATTATCATAAAAAAGTGACGAAGTTAATGACATAGGCAATGAACTCTTACAGTATTTTGGCTTTCATATAATATATACAGACCTGGCTTCTCGAAAGAGCTGTTGATTCTTTGGATTTTTCCGTAAGAGGTTGAGAATTACATAAAGACAATCTTCGATAACGATGCCTGAAAGTCGAACCATAAGGTGTGACAATACAATTAGTGGAACAGAAAATATCACAGGTATTTTCACAAATAAACTTACTTTCCATAGGTTCGACATCGATCACATCAAAAAGAAGTTGAAATGCATTTTCATACGCCAGAAGTTGCTGGATTTGTGGATGTGCTCGACTAAGCTCACTCATCATTAATACCGTACTGTTACGAATTATCTTGAATAAAAAAAGAAACAGTACATCTTGAGTTTAATGTAAAAAAGGTACATCTTGAGTTTAATTTGTTATACAGAAATTTAATATTTCATTTGAAGGTGTTTGTAAAATAACACTCCATAAAACGAACGAAAATTGATATTTTCTTCCAAATTCGACCTTTTTTATTAGCTTAAGCAACAATAAAACACCTCTCTGGTGTCGTGGAGCAAATCCACTAAGCGAGATACTCCCATCGGTTCTTCAACAATTGCTGTTTGTACTTCGCTATCGCGATGTCGTAAGAGTGCTGTTAATAATTGTATTACCGCCCTGAAACATGCAATTAAACATTTGGGCAGTTTTCATACTAAAAACTTTTAATACAAAGAGAGTCAGAAGCTTAGAGGACCGTAAACCTAGGTTTAGTAAAAAAAAAAACATTTCTGTTGGCAAAAATTTAGATTCTATTTACATCAGAAACAATTCTTTCCAAGCATTTTGCAGTTCTTCGTGCAACAGACCTAGTTTTTTTTTCTTTTTCAAGCTTTCTCAAAATTGCTATAAAAAAACGGGTATTAAAAAGAATGAAACGCTTGCGCTTTACCTACGCTAAAGTAAAGTTAGACTTTGCTTAATAATTCCTATGCTTTATGAAATGCATGAGTAATGCGGAGTATTTGGAACAAGCTTTAATAATAATGCTGCTCTTGAACCTATTGTTTATGACTTTATCGACTTGAGTAGAGATATAAAAAATCATTCAAAACTTGATCACCTTGGAAACTTAATGAACAGTTTTACAGCAGATACCATGACCCTCTTTCTATGAACCCATGTAACTTCTTGCCTCCTTTTTTCCCCACTGGAAACGGTCATTGATACAGCTCCAATGATTTCGATGAAATTGGAAAAAGCATACCTTCGAACAGCAAATTCGTATGATTCAACAAGTGCCATGATCGATGTAATGAATGTCTTTCGTCGAACTATCATTTCAGCAAGTCGTTCACCGATTTCATCCTGCCCTTAAATTTGATTTTTTTTTTCTTCTGCTGATTTTCTATCTAGAAGAAAATAAACAACTTATACCGAAATAAAGCATATCAATTTAACTCTTACCTTCATTGGGAACCTCATCATCGCACAGCACAGATACTAGTATTTCAAGGACGATGGATACTATCTCCGAACTATTGCCTTCTTTCTCCAGAATTTCCATGTAAGCATTCATACCTATGGCGGCAACTGGTAATCGCACTTTCTGTAATTTTTCTCCCTTTTACTAAGTTGCAAATCATCTTTTTTTATTTGAATAAGATAATAACAATTATTGAATGAATTCCCCAAGCTTATTCACAGTATTCTGTGCAATACTGCAATAGTGTCAGATTTATTCATAGGAACTTCATATAATGTCCCTTTCCATGACAACATGTTACTATTAAAAACACTATTTCCGAAAAAAGTTTATCACATATTAATTACTGACTCACGATATTGTTCATGATCCTTACGCACATTCATGGATTTGCGTTTGACATTTCCTGACACATTTATTTTTTTGCAAGTACGTCTCATACGCCTCTTATATTTCATGCTAACAATTTTAACCTTTCAGATTTTGTTTTCCTACAATTAAATTTTAACCCCATTGATAATTTACATATTATGATTCTTTCTAATATTATTGTTAAATTAGCATTTAAACGGAAATGATCTTAACCTTAGCAAGTGACCGTAATGCTTTCAAGGCATCTCGTCGATCCTCAGGAACCGTGGATGTCTCCACTCTTTCCACTAGATTCTCCACAATTTCTGCAGCGTTATCCGTTTCACGAGTACCATTTGTTTGACCACCAAACAGATTCGTTAAAAATGCCATCTAGAATAATTTCCTTCCTTTCCTCTTGTAAATTACATAGAGATATCTCGAAAAATTCGGATTTAGATAGAATTAGCCAATTATTGGCCAAGTAATTTCTTCGTTTACAATGAAAATATCTGAAGGTAATAAGTTTTGATAAGATATTTGATCTGGAAAAACGAAATATCGAATAAGACATTATAAAATTTGAAAGTGGAAAGCAAAAAGAAAGCAATCCGATCTGTAAGTCAACTAACACGACAATGAGTGACCTATGTGACTTAATGACCCAACACATTTCACTGCAACATGAAAACCAAAACCAAAACATCCAGGTCGCATAGCTGGACTTGCAGGCAGGTGGTTTCGTGTCACTATGCCATTTTCTGTAACACCGTATCGTTGAAACATTGTTATCGTGATTGTGACGGTTAGGTCAGGTTTTCGGTAACGTTTAAAATTCTGGAGGTGTGCATTTACCGTTTTCCTTTTAAAGATTCCATAAGGCTGAGAATAGCAGATTTGAGAGATGTTAGGATGTATCTGAGGATATTTGTAAAGCCTAGAAATGAGCGCTTAAGGTACCAAGAATTGATGCTTTTGGAAAGTGCTTTTTAGGAGTTCCCGGATTTTGAATTCGTTTTTTCAGGCCAACGAAGCAGAGCAAAAAAGGAACACATAAAATCGTTCTATTGAACGATTTTAAGAATTTGTTGTGTTCTACAACTGCGGGAGGAATTGTTCAGGCAACATGGCCGATGCAGTTGTTGCCATTTCTTCCCCTTCTTCATTCCACGCTCTCAAGGTATGCCAGTATCATGAATTTTTAACATTAAAGTTAGTCCATTTAATTTGTTTTTGATGATTTTCAAACTTGAGTCTCCTGGAAAATGTACCGGAGAATATCTTGAACTTTCCATATTCAATGATCAAGTAATCAGTTGTTGGTTTCCAGAATTTGCCGAAGTTATCGCTTCCAGCATTGGCACCTGTGCAAGTTAATATTAGGACTGTTACGTTACATAGAAATATTTCTGGTAAGCATAATTCAAGTAGTTGACGGTTTGAAAATTTTTATAGAGTTTCATAGAAGCTTTCTCTTTTTGAAATTTAGAAATGATGCTAAAAAAATGAGATTCACTTACATTAATTTATTCGAAGGCTTTTTCTTTCAGGTGACTTTGATTTCATTGTACGGCGTACGCAGATTCCTGACAAACAAGGAAAATTGCATGCTGTTGCCTTCGTGGAACCTGTGAAGTTCCGAGATGGTCCACCAAGACCAAATGATATTCGATATGGGTTACTACCGGGTGATCAGTTGCTACGAATCAATGGCACTTCAATCGACGTGTTAAGTCGAAACGATTTATCAACTCTTATGGAGGTTTTTATTGCTTTTCCTTTCTCCTTTTCCATGATTTCTTGCGATATTTAATGATACCTATGATATTGTACCATCACTCATTTAATTAATTAGTATATAAAAATGGAATGATATAGTGATGAGCATTTTTCGTAAGTCACGCATTTGGATTTAGTCCTAAACCTTTTCGAATATTGAATTTGGTTTATATATATATATATATGATTCTTATTAGATTCTTACTAAATAGATATGAAATTGTAAAGATATTTTCATTTTTTCTTAATCTAATTTTGCACGTGTTTTCAAAATAAATGTGGTCTCTCCATTCTAATTAGTTCTTTTTGGTGAATAAAGAAATCGGAAATTATACTGCAATCTAATTATTATAAAAAGAAGTAAGCTTATCGAGAGAGTACACGGAAATTATCAGAAAGGTTACTGTATTAAAATGTGGAAGATAAAATTAAGATTTACTTTTGTCATCTACATTTTCACCCATTCCGTGTTTTTCTCTACTGATTTATGCATTACTCTTTATTTCTCCATGCAAGCCATTACTCTCTTTCAGTTCACATTACTGTCGCATACCACTATATACATTCCAAAAGAAAAGCCACAAATAACACACTCCTCATAAATGTTTTTCATTACTTCTTACGCTATCATCGGCCTGGATTAGTGATAATTCTGGCTCATTTCTTAGCGCAATGACACTTTTTGATCAATATCTTTGAGTTGAAATTAAACAATTTTAATGATACTTCAACTGGTAGTAGTGTATAGTTAGGATAGTTTAACAGTTAACTGAAATAAGTGATAGTTGAGTTAGTGGTGGTTTTAAATTTTCGTGACATGGTAAGATATGCTGCATATATATGTGATCATATATATCGGATTAGCATGGTCGGACAATATAGAAGATTGTTGTGAAGATATTTTTAGTTTTAATGGAAGTGCAAAGTTTCAGAATTTTAGCGACTAATAGCCATTATTGCAGCGTTGTGGGCCAACCGTTGAACTGACGGTAAGAGCCGCACCAGAATTGGCTGAATTGTGCGAGCGGAATGAGGTGGATCGCTCTGTTATTGGTGATTCACTAATGCTTCCGGCAACTCCGAAATATCAAGCTAATACGGTAGCTTTTTTGAAAGAATTTTTTTTGGAAGGATGTTGTAAGTGAAATTTTTGGAAGTGAATTAGCGAAGAAACGAAATGAAATACGGGAAACTTAAAGTTGTAATAACAGTTTGATCGCATAGGACACGCCGGAAGAAGAACGATGCTGGTTGATTCATAAAAATGGTTTCACATTCGCTCGTTTACTAGAAACCTTGCCAGATGGAAGGATGAGAATAAAAGTGATAGATTTGGAAATGGATGTTGATGTGACGGATGTTGATAAAGCGAATCCGTCGAGCCTAGATCGCGTTAAGGATCTTATCAGGTTATTTTTCCCCTTTTTCGGGTACTTAGCTAGCTAATACTTAAATTTAACTCAGTTTGAATAAATGATCTGAATGAGTTTGTTACACCAAAATTTTATTTTTCTAAAAAAAATTTCTACATAAACCAATCTTTTGCATGAAGCATAATTTTTTCGTACTTCTCTTCCAGTTTACGCTATATAAACGAAACGAGTGTACTACATGTACTTCGTCAACGTTATGGCAGCAATTTGTTTTACACATACGTTGGCCCACGGAATATGATATGCTTGGCAACTGAAAGTCCAAAGGCAACAACAGTTTCTCTTTTCAAAGGATGCAGACGACAGCAGATTCCGCCACACATATATTCTTCTGCACAGCAAGCCTACAGGTAGGGCCTTCTGTGTTATGTGGGTCCCGTAATGAAATATGCTTGTTCATTTTATGTTAATGTGAAAATCCTCTGTTGATTTTACGTTTCGTCGCGTTTGTTGATGCCTTAATTCAACTTCTTTAAAGGGCCTTACAAATGTCTGGAAGAAATCAGTGTATTGTATTGTCGGGAACATCTGGTAGCGGGAAAACGATGCAACTGCGGAATATATGTCGTTATTTTTGTGAAGTAGCTGGTTGGACTAAGGCACTATCATGTAAATCCATAATTAATTTCATTTTTTAAGTCAGAACTTTAATTTGAAATGAGTGAAAGCTAGTAATCAGTAAAAGGCAATATTTTTAGCCGTAAACTTTGTCGGAATACAAAGCTTCAAAGTTGAAACATGCAACTTAGTAACTTGAAATAGAGTCAGAGATTATAATTAAGTTTGGGGTCTAGGAATTTATAATTACTGTAACTATTGTTATCAATAAAGCTTAAGATAGCGAGAGATGTCTTTTTCATAAAATTTAACATTTTTTTAGAAATGTTAAATTAATGTCCATGTCCACTTTATACGCGTATGGATCTGTTTTAGATGATACAATATCATCGGCTCTATTTGTTTTGGAGTCGTTCGGTAACTGTAGAACGAAAAGTAATGCGAATTCAACTCGATTTTTAATGATGTTTTCGCTTTCATTTGATACTGTGGCATCATTAAGGTAATCTTAGTTTACATGCTTAAATCCTTTAAAATTTTCCATGAATTTATCTTCCAAAGATATTGTTGATATTGATGTTAGTCAATCAGAAAATGATTGATAGTTTAGGGACGCGAAATCTTTCACATTTTAGCTTGCTGTGCTGTGCTTGCTAGAGCGAAGTCATACAAAATACATTATTTCTTCATAAACATTTTATTATGTAGGAGCAGTGCACTTCTTATCACACTTTTCTTAACAGTTCAGTTCATTTTCTCTTGAGAACGCATGCTTATTTTTAAATTTTATGTGTGGGATATGTGATATATTTGCAGGAATGCTTCCATGCAAACATTTCTACTGGAAAAGACTCGTGTCAATCGTTGTATCACTGATGGAAAGGTATTTCACGTAATACGTTATTTTTTGCAAGGAGCTGACTCAGAAGTAGTGGCACCATTTAAACGAAAAAACGATGATTCATCTGCTGACTCCCAAGAAGTAATTCATGTTCAATGTTTTTATACTTAATTCTTGTGTTTTCCTTGTCGTACTTTCGTATGTCTGGAATCTGTCAAGTTCTCTTCAAACATGGAATATATCTAGTTGCCCAATGGTATATTTGGCATACATGTAAAAATTTATTTCCCGAAGAAATTAGAATCTGGAAGACCGAATCGAGGCTTCATCAGTCTTTTTTCCAGAACTGGTTAAAGCTGCTGAATTCATTTACGGAATTGGGTTTTACTGAAAAAGAGAAGGCTGCAATCATATCTGTCCTTACGGCAATCCTACATCTGATTTGTGCTGAAGCTACACAAAGTGACGCGCCAAGATCTCAATTTATACACGTTCAACATGCGCAGCAAGCTGCCTCATTACTGGGTCTGGAAATGGAACAGCTTACTTCCGCTGTTTTCCGTAAAAATCTTTCACAAACTGCATCCAGCAATCCTGTTAGGTATCGTGCATCTACTTCTCAGTGCTTTATAGGCGACCATTATTTATGTACTAAATTTCCTTTGTATCCGAAAATGTATGATCTAAGCTTGAGTAATTATTTCTTGCTACTAAGTGTTTATTGTTGAAATGTTCCGGGTAAAGAAAGAATAGTGTGTATGGTGATTTTAGAGAGTATAATA